CGCCTACGTGAAGTCCGAGCTGCAGAAGAGACACTCGTGCACAGACCTGGGTGAACTGCGCAGCTACCTTGGCTTGCAGATCACCCGGGACAGAGCACGCCGCACCATCACCCTGACTCAGTCACACATGGTGCAGCAGGTCCTTCAGCGCTTCGGCTTCACGTACTCCTCGCCTCAGGCCACTCCTCTGCCTACTCGCCACTCGCTCTCAGCTCTGCCTTCGGATGAGTCCGTAGAGTCGAGTGGCCCGTACCCAGAGCTTGTTGGCTGCCTCATGTACCTGATGACCTGCACGCGACCTGACCTTGCATACCCTCTTAGCATTCTCGCACGCTATGTTGCTCCTGGGAGACACCGACCAGAGCACATGGCTGCAGCGAAGAGGGTGTTGCGCTACTTGTGCAGTACGTCGGGCATGGGGCTAGTGCTTGGAGGGCGGAGTCCAGTGGTCCTCACTGGTCACGCAGACGCTTCTTGGGCTGACGACCAGGCTACGCAGCGGTCCTCACAGGGTTACACCTTCAGCCTTGGTTCCGGGTCTGTTTCGTGGCGGGCTACTCGCTCGTCTTCTGTTCTCGGCTCCAGTTGTGAGGCTGAGATCTACGCAGGGGCCATGGCTGCTCAGGAGCTTCGCTGGCTTACCTACCTGCTGACCGACCTTGGAGAGCCGCCTCGTTCTCCTCCAGTCCTGTACGTAGACAACAAGGCCATGCTGGCCTTGTGTCGAGAGCAGAGACTGGAGCACAGAACAAAGCACATTGCTCTCCGCTACTTCCTCGCTCGTGAGCTACAGCAGCGTGGTCAGTTGCGGCTTACGTACGTGGCCTCTGAGGCCAACACTGCTGATGTCTTCACCAAGGCACTTGCGCCTTGTGATCATCAGCGCTTCTGTACCCAGCTGGGTCTTGTGCCTGTCTTGCCTCACTTGCTCACCTCTTGACCTTGGTTGTACTGTTACATATATATGTACCTGCTCTTGCTTGTCTAGCCTTATATATATATGTACTCCTGCATGTGAACTGGCCTTGTGGCCTTAAACTTGTGCTCGGAATGTGTGGTGACTTTGTGATCCACCCTGAGCTTGCTTTGCCTTGCTTTACTTGACTGGTCTTGTGACCCCTAGTTCTCCCCCACTTCGCCTATGGGGGTGTGTCAAACATTATATATGTTGTGCTTGTTTAGGCTACAGTGGGTTAGTCTATAGGGGGTACACAATTCTAGGGTTAGGTACTTGTACTCATTTCACTGTTAGTTCCAACATTCCTGTTTGTTCATCTCAACAACTTCATCGCTCTCACGAAAATGCCATGTGGCACCTCTCTTGCCACTTGCAACGGAAGATTCACCTGCACGTGGCAACAGAGAAATAGTGGGAGGGGGCAAATCTCGGCAGATTGCCTTTGAATGTACCGCGAAATTTCATTGAGGGAGAAATTCACACGATATTCTTCCGTATTGCAGCTACTCGTTAACGACTATAATAATGAATCTGTAAGAAAAGGGGGGTGTTATAGAAAATCAGCCAAAAAGGGGGGTATAGTAGAAACGAGGTCTATCATAACACCCACCCCGCACAAGCTACCCAGGGGTGTACAATTATGGGGGGGTGTTTTGTCCGGGAGTATACGGTATTTCATTTTCCCGTTTTTTGGGTTGCGTAGCAACCCCTTTACATTTGGTAGCACTTTTTTCGGTCGACTCGAATGAACAGTGCACATTTTTGTCATATTCCCAACATCTGAAGCACTAGCTTTAACGTTTTGAGAATGTGTGCTTCAAATGTGTGGAGATGACAGCACTGCTACACAAGAGCCTCCAAAAAAAATGAAACCAAATGAGACCAATTATTCCATAATCGTCGATAAATACAGCGAATGGAAACAATTGGTAGCAGCCTCGCCATATTTTACGGTACATCACACACAATTGACGAGACAACAAATTCGGCGTGGATGCAAATTACGGATTTGCATCTACCGTATCGAACATGTGCAAAACGACAACAATCAACAACAGCAAATGTCATAAAGTGAATGGCAAAATGCATCAGTGCTACAATAGCGATGGATCCGGTATGCTAAGGCGAGCAACGCTGCCCCAACAACGATCCCCACCTCAATTGCAGACCTGACACACTTTAACATGACACCTTACAACAAACACGAACGAGCACATGCGACATTGTACTGGTACAACGACGACAACGCATAACAATGAGTGTCTTGGGGAGAATGCTAAAATGCATCGATGATGCAACAAAGGTTGGTCTGGCACGCTAAGGCTATTGCCCCACCGGCGATCACAACCTGAGTTGCATACACGAGGCACTTCAGCACACGCCTTGAGACAGACACAAACGATACAAACAACACGACTGCACATGCACACACAGGCTCACACACACACATACACACTGACACGCACGCAAACAAGCACAGATACATACGGATAGTCAACACACAACCATCATGAAATTCAGCTATTAGTAAATCATCACTAGCCAATCACCCCTTACCCTCCCTACACCCCTCCCTTCCTCCCTCCCTCCCTCCTTCCTTCCCTCCCTCCCTCCCTCCCTCCCTCCCTCCCTCCCTCCCTCCCTCCCTCCCTCCCTCCCTCCCTCCCTCCCTCCCTGCCTCCTTGCCTCCCTCCATCCCTCCCTCCGTCCCTCCCTCATCTCCCTCCCATTGCCTCCCTCATCTCCCTTCTCCGCCAAACATAATCAAAGAATGCAGCTTACGAGCCCTGCACAAAGTAAAAACAGAGAATGCAACACGCCCTGCACAAGAAAGCAAAAACAGAGGATGCAACTCATGTGAGGAGGCCAATTAGGAAACAACTCACCCACACTGCATAAGAAAGCAAAAACAAAGAGAGTACACCTCATAGGATTGCACAAGAAGACAAAAGCAGAGAATGCAGCTCACCCACTAGAGACGAAATAAGCACAATGGAAAAAGATGAGCAATCGATTTGACAGCTCACAGAGGTAAATTGGTATTAGTCGTGGCACCACAGATACTACACCAGCATGATGCCATGCCTTGAAGCCACCCTCAAGTTCAACTTCACACTCACGTTCGCACTCAATCTTGTACTCAATCCCGCACCCACTCACACACGCACAAATACTCTCAACTTTCTTAGACACACTCACACAGAAACACACATACAAACCTACACGTTAACTCTTGCACTTACCCTCGCACTCATGATCATTCTCATTCCAATCATACGTTACACGTTACAAATACTTCCACGCGCACGCAAGGACACTCACACGCACCCTTGCACTCACACTCGCACTTGCTCTCGCATTCACCCTAAGACAGTCTCGCTTTTTTAGTTTTGCACTCACACGCACACCCACTCATCCTCGCACTCACCCTTGAACTACCCTCACACTCGAGCTCACACTCACCCCAAACCCTGCACCATCATATTTACACTCACATTCACTCTCGCACTTGCTCTAACTCTTGCTCTCGTTCTCACCCTCGCACTCACCTAAACACGCACCCTCGTACTTCCTCTCATATTCACCCGCATACACGCACTTGCACGCACCCTCGCACTTACCCTCAAGTACATGCGCGTACTCACACTCGCAGTCACACCCGCTTTCGCACCCGAATACCGCCCTCTCACCCTCACACACTCCCGTACTCACTCTCGCAACCACTCACGGACGCACAATTACTTTCAACCGTTCTTAGACACACCCTCAGAAACACAAACACACACCCTTGCACTCACCCTCGAACTCGCGCACTCACTCGAACACTTTCACACTCACACGCACACACAGTCGCCGGCACGGTGGCACCCTTGAACTCAACTCACACCCACACCCACACACTCGCCCTCGAACTCACCCTCGCACTCACTCTTCTACTTGCCCTCACACACCATCTCACACACCCTCGCACTCACGCTTGCACTAAACATCGCAGCCACCATCTAACTCACCATCGCACTCACTCTTGCACTCACTCTCGCACTCACTCTTGCACTCAAACACATGTAATGTACTCTCAACTCTTCTTCGACAATCACAGAAACACACATACAAACTCTTGCACTCATCATCGTACTCACCCTAGCACACACTCAAACGGACCCTCGCACTCCCCCTTGCACTAACACACACTCACACTCGTACTCACCCTCAAACTCGCCCTGGCACTCACTCCCACAATTGCTTTCGCACTCACACTCGCGCTTACGCTCGCACCTGCTCTCTCGTTCACACTCGCACTTGCCCTTGCACTCACAACCGCACTCACCCGCAAGTGCACGTGCACATCCAAGTCTCGCCCTCACGTCGCCCGTGCCCAAGCCGCCAGCAAGTGCAAGCGCCCACGGCGCCCGCGCCCACTGCACCAGCGCCTTAGGCGCCAGCACAAACGGCGCTCGCGCCCAAGGCGCCAGAGCCCCCGGCGCAAGCGCCCACAGAGCCAGCGCCTCATGGGGCAGCACCCACGGCGCTCGCGCCCTAAGCGCAAGCACGTTAGGTGCTAGCACCCACGGAGCCCGCGCCAACGGCGCAAGCGCCCACGGCGCCAGCGCCCTAAGCGCAAGCACCTTATGCGCCAGCGCCCATGGCGCAAGAGCCTTAGGCGCAAGCGGCCAAGGCGTCTGCGCCATAAGCGCAAGCGCCTTAGGCGCCAGCAACCACGGCGCTTGCGCCCACGGCCCCAGCGCCCTAAGCGCAAGGGGCTAGGCACAAGCGCCAATAGGGCCCGCGCCGACGGCGCAAGCGCGCACGGCGCTCTCTCTCGCGCCTCTCCCTCTAGTGCTTCCTTAGCTCTCACGCGCGCACTCTCCTGCGCTCTCGCTCCCTCGCGCTCCCTCTCCCCCCTCTTCAAATAGTAGTGCAACGCAAGAGACCAATCAACACACAGAAACTACAAATACGATAGGAAAAATCGGAAATATAGGACCTTTCAGTAGGGGGAAGGGAGGAAAAAAGGACAGGGAAAGGTAAACGCACCTGCAATTCACGGTGCAGAGTCAAACCCGCGCTCGCGCACCGGCTCCCACTCGCGCACCAGCTTGCTCGTGACCTGTCGACAGAGTCGGCGGCGGGATGGGAGGGAGAGGCGACGGCGGGATGCGAGGGAGAGGCGACGGCGGGATGGGAGGGAGCGGCGACGGCGGGAGGAGGGAGCGGCGACGGCGGATGGGGGGGAAAGGCGACCGTGATGCGGAGGGAGAGGCGACGGCGGGGAGGAGGGAGAGGCGACGGCGGGGAGGAGGGAGAGGCGACGGCGGGGAGGAGGGATGGGCGACGGCGGGGAGGAGGGAGAGGCGACGGCGGGGAGGAGGGATGGGCGACGGCGAAGAGGAGGGAGAGGCGACGGCGGGGAGGAGGGATGGGCGACGGCGGGGAGGAGGGAGAGGTGACGGCGGGGAGGAGGGAGAGGCGACGGCGGGGAGGAGGGAGAGGCGACGGCGGGGAGGAGGGATGGGCGACTGCAGGGAGGAGGGAGAGGCGACGGCGGGGAGGAGGGATGGGCGACGGCGAGGAGGAGGGAGAGGCGACGGCGGGAGGGAGGGAGAGTCGACGGCGGGAGGAACGGAGAGGCGACGGCGGGAGGGAGGGAGAGGCCTCGGCATAGTGGGAGGGAGAGGGGAAGGGGGGCTGGAATCGAGAGAGGATGGCGGGGTGGGAGGGAGTAGCGATGGAAAGGTGGGTGGGAGGGAGAGGCGATGACGTGGTGGGTGGGAGGGTGAGGCAACAGCTGGTGGGGGAGGAGAAGTGATGACGGGGTGGGAGGGAGTGCCAAACAAGAAACTACAGTAAACGAAAACGTTGGGGCAATCTGAAAGCCAGCACAAAACTTGGGCACTTGGAATTCAAAACAAAAACCAAACGCTGGTGCCACGTGAGAACACACACGGATAATCACGTGAAATTTGTGTGAGCTGGAAAACAGTTCAATTTGAACCACACTTTTGCTAGAGCAAGAACCGGATAGTATAGTGTTACAAAATATACTATTGAAGATATAAAACATAGTTGTTCACTAAATTTTATAAACTACTTATCAAAAAGACACTCAATTGTTCTATTCACCCATGGTTTAGCAATGGAATCATAAACTAACACATTATTTCATAATCAAGAAGTAACTAGACTTGCTATATTCATTAATACATGAAAGTTAAAACTTGGTGCTATATAAATACATTAAATTGCTTGTCCTCGTGTTTTGTAAAATATGAATGTGACAACTACGCAACCCATCCGACGTTAACGTCGAATCTTGTTCCTCCCTGGGACACGTTTCGTCCATTTTGACCCCTTCAGTTGAAACGGAACTGAGAAACGGAAACTTGGTCGGTCGAGGTCAGGTGTCCCTGGTCAGAGGTTCTCTGTAACGCTGCGAGGAATTGGTGTGCTGGCTTGTCTCAGCTCGGCGGCTGATTTGCGGCTTCAGCTGTGCGATCAGTAGAAGTTACAGTACTGAAAATCGACGAACTCGCGACAGCAGACCTGTCGCGACGCCCTGCCACTTCTGCGATGCGTTACACGTACAAATACCTCTCCGCATATCATCAACGCACCCAATTCGTTATCCACGCAATCGAACCCCTCTGCTCAACCGAAGGTGCTGAATTTTGCTGGAAAATACAGATGGCGTTCAGTGAACACGCCTGGATGGGTGCCATCAAGCTCGCACTTCTACTGTGCTCGGGATTTCTCTCTAGTAATGCTGCTGCTTCGCCAGGTCCGTGGAATTCTTGTTGCCTGTTTAGGTTCCCACACTTCCAATGCCCGCTTCTGATCCTCTGCAACTTGTTCGCTCGTGCTTTCAGTAGATCACTTTAATTATGTCCAGCCAATTTCCAGGATTACAGGCCCAGATTTCTCGACTGGTGTCAGTAAGTTATTTGCCAGTTTTGTGTTGAGCAATTTTTTTGGAAGAATCTTCCATTCTCCTCAGGCCCCTTGGGTTCCCCCGGCGCAAGTCTTCGCAATCACACGACTTCCGCCCGCAGTATGCTTCCTGCCTCGTTTTTTCCTCCTCCGACCTTTAAAATGTATTTACCGGCTTTATCTGCAATTCAGGATCCACACGCCGCTCCCTGATTATCAAAGTGTCACCTAATCGCGATACGCCATGTGGTACGAAGCTGACCTGGTGGAACCAGACGGATTACACCGGCGCAAATTGGGTGACTTACGCTCCCAGCCCAACAGTCGGGTGTATCAATATCCCGTCGAAGTACCTCCCATCTACTAAGTTTGGATCCCTCAAACTCGAATGGTACGCACCGACGGACGCCATGAAACGTGACATGTTCTTCGTCACGTGCAAGGAGGTGAGAGGAGCAATGCTACGTCCTTAACAGCAATGTGCAGACGCCATTGAGCAATTATCTGAGGTTCTATGTCGGTTGATTTTTCCTCCTTGGGGCTCGCTGGAGCTGCAGGTGCACTTCTGGCCAACGAGGAACTGCGAGATCGGTAACACGGACTACCTCACATATCCTACCGACCACAGCCCGCCTTCGCCAACCAAGCGCCCGTAAGCACCCCATCCCTCCCCTTTCCCAGTGATCTAGGGTTTTCTGGAGTATAAATCAAAGAACAGCAGGAGGTCTATATCTGTGTTGCATATCAAGGCTGACAGATTTTGCCTCCCCGACCTGTTTTCCGTTTGCAGGAAATACCCCAGAGCCTCATTTCGCCCTCATTCCATCAGCTGCATCTACAGTACGTTGTAGCATTCCAACATCTCCCTATGCCGTTTGTTTCTTAGGGGCACTTAAAGCAGTCTGAGCTTCTGAGTGCTTTACAAGGCGGCACTGCAACACATGGTTATCATGCTTTAAGGAGCTTGGATTGGCTGTTTTATGCAGGTCAGGACCTGAACAAGCTGTACTCGTGTCCCCCTAATAGCACACTGGATGGCACGTGGAGAAGGGTGGCAAGTGCGTTGGTAAGTGCTCATCGTTAGCGCCCTTCCGCAGTACCCAAAGATCTCAAGTGTTGCCTGCAGACTGCACTATTCAGCTGATTAGAGCTGCATAGAGCGTGTGCAGAGTGTTGCCTGATCATAGCATTCCTGCTACCCCTGACGTGTATCATATTCGCCTCTCTTGCCCCAGACGTTTGCACTCCTCTCAACTGTGGACCGCACGCCAGCTGCTACGTTAAGAACGGAGCTGGGGTGTGTAATTGCACTGAGGGTTACCGCCGTGTGGAAGGAAAGTGCGAGGCTATTGGCCATTCAGATTTCCTTGATTCTCACAATGCTGCTCGTGCTGCTGTGAAGTTACCCGCCCTGAAGTGGAGTGACTCCTGTAAGTACAGGGCAACCTTCCGTCCACTCTTAGCCCTTATCCTTCCACTCTTACCCTTTTCCTTCCACTCTTACCCTTTTCCTTCCACATACCGTTTTGTTAGCCAGTTAGAAACCTGCAGTTGGTCGCTATCACTGAACTTTTTTTTCTGACCATATTCTTCCAAACTGCCGCGCCATCTTTTACAGTGGCGAAGAAAGCCCAGGCATGGGTTGCCCACCTGGGTAAGATTGACAACAAGTGCAGGACAATGAATCGTTCTTCTGCACTTTCCAGCTATGGCCAGAACCTGCTGAGCACCTTTGGGATTGGGCAGTGGGCTCCCAGTGAGGTGGTGAACGTGTGGCTGGATGAGAAGAAGTTTTACACGTACTCGCCTTTACCGGGTGGATGCAAAGCGGGGCACTTTTGCTCCCACTACGTTCAAGTACGAATCGTTTCGTCTGTTTTGTTTGTCTGTTTTTTTTTTTTTTTTTTTTTTTTGTGCATTTCTTGCAATCGTATTCCGGTTGTATCAGTGCCTACGCTTCTTCTTGTATCAGATTGTTGCCAGGAAGACAACAGATGTTGGCTGCAGTTCGTATACGTGTGGCAAAGCAGGCTCCATGCTGTGGGCTTGTTTCTATTCGCCCAAGGGTCTAGAGAACAAGAAGTATCCATACTAGATGTGATGGATCTGAGTCTGCAAATATAGTGTTGGATGTGAATGCAACAGTAGATTTCTGTCACGGGTGTACTCAAATTCACATATATTATTTCGCGTTCATGCGAACCGTGCATGAATATGCGAGTATTCAGTGATCTGTTTGGTAACCACCCCACTTCTTCAGACGAGCGCCCCTGACGCACCTGTGCTGGCGCCATGTGCTCAAGGCGATCGCGCCGCAGGTTTCGTCAGGGTGTAGGCGGAAGACCAGGCCCCCCTCTGGCGCGGATAGAGCGAGGGCGCGAAATGAAAGCTCCTCGCTGACGACGAAGTTCCTCCAGGCTTGTTTCACAAATTTCTGTGCGTGTAAACAAAAAGGTATTGACCAATGAGAATGGATTGCGATTGGAACTCTGGCTGCCTGTGGTCAGCAACTGAGTGCATGTGGGCTTCGGGCGGAAAGTTGCCCATTGCCCCAAGGATTTGGGATGGGAAGGGAATGGACTAGCAGCACCCACCCAGCCTTGTGAAGCTACAAATTGTCAGAATGGGGGGACGATTGACTTCACGAGTGCAGACAGAATGCGTTTAGTGACTTTGACAAGTCAATAATTTCCGTTTTCTTCTGCCATTGTTGTACGGCATCGTTGAACCCCTTCAGCCGAGGAGCCATGCTCATACCATAACTGACGAGAAGTATAGCTAGTCTTGTTGAAAGCTTCTAAATTTTCGATCAAGCACCCCCTCACGCTTTAGGTTTTATTTATAACGTCAAGCTTTCCTTGACTCTTTCCTACCATAGTTGCACAATCAGACTTGTTGCTGCCCGAGTTCTTTCTGGAGGGATTCGTCGCAAACATACGAAAAAGCGAAAGCCAAGGTAAGAGATACTCTGGATAGGTTTTGCTGTGGTTAAGGCCACATCCAATGAGCTTTCGTATAATCGATGCCCCCAAATAATGTTCCATGTGTCAACATGTCAACACACGTGGCACTGGTGGTCACTTTTGAGAAGAGAATCGTAATCGCCTATTGAACGCAGAGTTTGCTTAACTTTCATTATAGCATATGAGCAGTCGAAGATACACCAAGACAAACATCACCATTCCACCATTCCACGACAAAGAATATGGTTCCTGTCTCATGCCTAACACCAACTGGAATCCCCTGTTCTCATTTTGTTTAACCACAATCCCCCTACCCTCAGCCGCAAGCATGGGGCCCCAGGGACCAGAGTCAACAGATAGCGTCCTCCCCCCAACCACCGAGCTCTCTGCTCCTCCGCCTGACATTTCCCCCGGCGCTACGAACAAGAAGAAGCGTCGGCTCAAGGTGAAACTCCCGGCAATCAAGGACGTGCCATGGAAGGGAATGTTCTTATATGCGATGGAATGGATGTCCAATCCTATCAACGCCGCTTCTTTCTTCTGGTGTGTCCTCGCGACGTTCGCCTTCGTTATAGTCGTCATGTGCGAGCTCGGCTTGATGAAGAATTACATTCATGACCATGAGACGCTGGAGGAGGTGAAGGAGGTATCCACTCAGATCTTAAACGCTCTCTTCGTGCTCATGTGCCTCATCTGGCATCCGGTCTTCATGCGAGACGTGCTTCTGCTTATCCGGTGGAAGCCGAAAGATAAGTGGGAGATTCGCGCCGAGTACTGTAAAGACGGGAAACGGAAACCCAACGATCGCACGCACATGGCGTTTGTCGTTTTCTGGCTGCAGCTAACGTGCTGGGCGACGTACGCCTTCGCAGCGGTCTTCCTGGTCTACCCTATGGGTGAACGACCCATGAGCCTGATCATCGTCACCACTGTCGTTTCCTTCGCCGCACCCGCGTTCGCCTTCCTCCATCTGCTCCTGAGCCCTCTGAGCAAGGACTATGACATTGTGCGGGTTGGAGAGGGCGACGGGGCCAAAGTGCAGATGTTTCAACGGAGTGCTACGTTTATGGTGTCTCACACGAAGGTGGAGGACGCGCAATGGGCTGGGTCGGTAGTCCCTGGGTGCTGCTCCGAGCCGCGCGTAGCGTGCCTGAGCTGCTTCTTCCCCTGCTGCATGTTTGGGTACAACATGGAGAGGCTTGGGTTTGGCCATCGGATTGTCCACGCGATGATGTTCGTTATCATGCTCATCGGCCCGGTGTTGATTTTCGAGCTCTGTGCAGATGCCGTTCACGCGGATCTCTCCAAAAACGTTCTCTTTTACTTAGGCGTTGCAATTGCCATCACCGGGCTTGCTTACGGTGGTGCCTGGCGAGTGAAGATTAGGGAGACTTATAAGCTCCCCGGATCCCGCTGGTGGTGTGGGAGCAGGCGCCTGACAGATATTTGCAGTTGGGTGTGGTGCTGCTGGTGTGCACTGTGCCAAGAGGTCCGGACCACGGATCAGTATCAGGTGGTGGAAAACTCGTTCTATAGACGAGCAGGCGACATTGAGAGTGGGTCTGGCGCCCCTGCACCTGCCGGGGCACTGGATACAGTTCCTGATGCTGAGGAGGAAGTGGAGGAAGATGAGGAAGATGATGAATTGGATGCTCCTGCTCATCAGACAATGCAGAAGTGAAGTTGATGGTGAAGAAATATGGGACAAGGGGTTTTTGCTACCTTTTTTATGCTTTGTAGAACTAGGTTAACTTATTTTGCTCATGTATCATTAATCTCAATAAATTTCGTTATGTTGCCGATTGAAGACATTTATGTTAAGACATTTCCATTCTAGAAATAGTGTAATACGAGTGTTGTTTCATATTTGAATTGATAACAAGAGATCATGTGGAACAAATGCACTCTATGAACCCGCACGACTAACGTTTCGCTACAAGCTGGATGTACGTCTTGAATCCGTTCTGTCGTGACTGCCGTGCAGTACCAGGATCCCTGTCTAATATTCTTTAGTAGCATCCATAACCGTTGTGACCGTTGACCTTTGCTCGAGGATTCAGAAGAATTAGGTTCTCAAATGGGGGTTGACTATTACGACTTATTAGAAGTCCAAAAATCCGCAAGTGATGACGACTTGAAGAAGGCGTATCGGAAGCTTGCCATGAAATGGCATCCGGACAAGAATCCGGACAACAAGAAAGCAGCCGAAGCTAAATTCAAGCAAATCTCGGAGGCGTACGAGGTACACCCTTTGCCTAGCAGCTGATTTTTCATCGCTGTAACTTGCCAGTTTACCCTCAACCTACAGAACTTGTCACGTGCAGGTATTAAGTGATCCCGAGAAGCGACAAATCTACGATCAGTACGGCGAGGAGGGTTTGAAAGGGCAGGCTGCACCCGGAGGGGGGTCGTACAGCAGTCATGGAGGTCACTCGCATGGCAACTTCCGTTTCAACCCACGAAGCGCTGAGGACATATTCGCGGAGGTCTTCGGCGGACACAGTCCGTTTGGAGGGGCTTACGGACCCGGATTTGGCGGGATGGGTGGCATGGGTGGTATGCCAAGTGGTCGATTCAGTCGCATGGGGAGCGCCAACGGTATGGGGGAATCGATGCAGTATCAGGATATGTTCGACCATGGCATATACGGTTCTCAGGCTTCATCAGCTTCGACTGGTCCCAGAAAATCCCCACCCGTGGAAAACAAGCTTCCATGTACGCTAGAGGAACTGTATTCAGGATCTTCCAGGAAGATGAAGATCTCACGCAACATCATAGATGCAAACGGGTAGGTATGCCTTTCATTTTTCCAGTCAAACCTACGATCAATACCTCTCGAACCTCTTATCCCTACTACTTTCCCTGCCTTTTTCTCCCCGTCCTCTTTCCTTCTTCTACCATCTTCCTCTTGTTTCGTTCTGGTCATTACGCCCTAACTCCATTCACCTCTGCAACTTCACATCATTGGTTCTGCAGACGACAAAAAACTGTGGACGAGATATTGACGATCAATGTGAAGCCGGGCTGGAAGAAGGGAACAAAGGTCACTTTTGAAGAAAAGGGTAACGAGCAGCCTGGAATGATTCCTGCAGACATTACCTTTGTGATTGACGAGAAGCCTCATGACAGGTTCACACGGGATGGGAACGACCTTGTTTACATGTGCAAAGTCCCCCTTGTGGATGCACTTACTGGCTACACGGCAAACATCACAACACTTGATGGCCGGAAGCTTACTTTTCAAGTAAACGACATCATCAAGCCAGGGTTTGAAAAGGTGGTGGGTGGAGAGGGCATGCCGACCAAGGGGACCAAGGGTAACCTGAGAGTCAAGTTTGAAGTGCAGTATCCGTCCAGGTTGACAGCAGACCAGAAGACAGCAATCAAACAGGCTTTTGGGAAAACCTGACCATGTAAGTGACATTTTTTCTTTCTTTCTTTCTTTCTTTCTTTCTTTTCACTGGGGTTTTTTCTTTAAAAGTTGACCACATCAGTTCTGCTCAATGTAGTTCACTGGTTGGTTGACCTGCCATTGTTTGACAGACTCGTGCTTTTGTCAGTTACCACCCAGTTATGCTCTCTTTCTGATGTGTGCATTCCGTGTGTGCTCCCACCAACCCACATGCTTGCAGGTTATCTGAATAGACGCCCTGTGTTGGCAATGCCCCCATGCCATATTGCATCTGGGACATTTTGGAATATCTCTGATATCTAGTACCATTGGCTCCTGTAGCTTTCCAAGAGTCCCAAGTTTCAAGATAGAAAAGCCCTGCACTGTCAAGGCCAGTTTGACACACTTGAGCCAAGTGTACCGTAGCTTATTTGCAGATGCACCACACCCAGATGCAGTGACCAGTGCGCTTGGCCATGGTGAATATTAAAAAGGCAGAACCACCCATGGCTGTCAATAGTACCATGATCATGTAGAGTGCATTTTCTTCCTTTAAAACATGGAGTACGGGTCTACAACGCGACGTGTTGCTTCCATGTGAGCCACAGTGAGAATGGATCTGCCTGATGTATACATTGATAGGTTCCAAACGAGAGCCACGCCGATGCGCATTTCACTAGGGCTGTCACTTTATGTGATACCACTATGAAGAAGACCTTTGCGAAACATCATTTCTTCTGCCCTCAGAGAAGGTTGTGCGAGCAGGCCCAGATCCCACCAGAGGCTCTTCCTCATCCTCAGACACCCTGTGGCAGAAAAGCGTGAGAAGGAAAACATGAAACATCATCAGCCAGTACATGTCACCCTGGATGTCCAAGAAAACAGTTGCCATCCATCAACTTGGGATGGGACAAGGTGGGACATGCAGCCACAGGCATGCCAGCAACACATCGCTTGAAAACCCCGACGCAGCATGATACAGTCCCACGTGCAGCTTGAATGTGTCCCCCATGCGTGCCAGGGTGCATTTCCGCAGCACAAAAATGGCATGATGCGGACAGAAAGCCTACCTGGGTTCAGAGCTCTCTTCTCCCCGGTTCCAGAGAGCACTCAGCTCCCCTCGTCGCCACGCCAACAGCACAATCACCCCTGCCAGGCCAGGTCACATGAGCAACGATGAGAGGATGGCAGGAGGGGAATGGTGTCAGCATGGGTGAAGCTAACAGACAGCGGGTTCAAACCGATTGGGAGCTGTAGACACAGCCGAAAGTGGTCAAAAGATAACGGCGTGGGGAGACGGGTTAAAACAAAACTAAAGGGAGAAGGAGATACCAAGGGTGCAAGGGACAAGGTAAAGCAGCGCGGGCTGTCCGTTGCCGTTCATCAGAAGCAGCCCCACAAACGTGAGAAGCAGGCCTGCCATGCAACGAGCAGAAAAAGCAGAGGAGCGGGATGAGCATGCAGCATTGAGACTGTGGCAAGGCACACATGTGAAATGAGCAGACTAGAGCAGACCACCTTGTGCTGTGAGTGCAGGACGTGCATCACGAATGCACCACATGTAATGCAAATGCAAGCCACAAATGAAAGTTTGCCGCTTCTCAAGCGTACAGAGAAGAGAGCCAGAATCGTACCCACAGCATAGCCGATGATGGCCGGCAGATAGTACCCATCCATGCCCATCTTCTTGGTGATGCAGTCGTATCTGAGTGACTCAAAAGACAACACAGAAGAAGTATTTTTTACAAATCTCTCACAAAGACGTCAACAGCCGCCCGTGCCCATCTTCTTGGTGATGCAGTCATATCTAATGCACTCGGAATCAGAGGAGAGATACACAGGTCGGCGGGTAGGAGGGAGTCAGCCAAGAAAAAGAGGAAGGCATAGCAGAGGGGAGCAGAGAAGATTAAAGCAGAGCAGATTGGAGCAACACCAAGACCACAGCTGGCAACAATGGATGTACATTCACTCCAATTCAACGAGTCAAATTGCCTGGAAGTACGCAACAAGTCACCACAACGAGTCACCTTCTGGTGAAGACAATGAGCAGGCCTGGCAGCACGATGTTCCCAAAGCTCAGCTCGGAGTATCCCTCCCCGGGATCCGTTATGTGAGGCACCTTGAGCAGCGGGAGGATTATTTAGGCGCCTAAGAAAATGAGAACAGCAATCTACCTTCTGCTGAAGACGATGAGGAGGCCTGGCAGCACGACATCGCCAAAGCCCAGCACAGAGTATCCCCCCCATGGATCTGTTATGTGCGGCACCTTGAGCAGCATGGGTATGCCCTCTCCTCCCGTGCGCTCCCCTGTTGCCACCTGGAAGGAAGCACAGGATTGGACGAACAGAACACACAGTTTTGAGTACGTCGGAGAGAATGAGACGGGGACGAACCGACGTGGATGGCAAATACTAATCGGATGACAAGCGGAAATGGAAGGCAGGCAGAAAATGGACCGTGCAGACGCACTGACCTCGATCATAACGCTCTTTCCGTTGAAGAAGAGCGGCGAGATGAAGACCCAGAAAATGTCGTAAAAGAAAGCGAGGGAGAGCAGCACAGTGGACACCTGGTGAGAGGGGAGAGACATGCTGAGAGACATGCTGAGAGACATGCTGAGAGACATGCTGAGAGACATGCTGAGAGACATGCTGAGAGACATGCTGAGAGACATGCTGAGAGACATGATGAGGAGGGGAAATGGAAGACACAACACAAGCCCATGCATAGCCCATGGCAGTGTACAAGGGTGGGGGTGCAATGGAGCAATCGAGGGTGTGAGGATGTGAGAGTGCGAGTGCGAGAAGGTGCGAGGACCGGCGGACTGACCTTGATGTTGGGCAGACGCACTGCCTGCAGCACCGTGATCATCAGCGCTATGCCCTGTGATAGGGTGGGGAGGGGTGGGGGGGAGCGGGCGGTAAAAGGACAAAGAGGGCTTCAGACGCACTGCCTGCAGCACCGTGATCATCAGCGCTATGCCCTGTGATAGGGTGGGGAGGGGTGGGGGGGAGCGGGCGGTAAAAGGACAAAGAGGGCTTCAGACGCACTGCCTGCAGCACCGTGATCATCAGCGCTATGCCCTGTGATAGGGTGGGGAGGGGTGGGGGGGAGCGGGCGGTAAAAGGACAAAGAGGGCTTCAGACGCACTGCCTGCAGCACCGTGATCATCAGCGCTATGCCCTGCCGGGGGAAGGCGGGACGGGGAGAGTGGGGCGCGTGGTGGGATGCAAGGGGAGACAGGGGGAGGCGAGGGAAGGCGGGCACATGATGTGGGTGTGGAGTGACGACAGTCGTACCCCACCTCGTTACAAGGCAGCTCAAAAGAAAACTCGCCTAAGAAATCATACAGCAAGAAGACTATTAAGACAGCAAAACCCCCCTTGCCCTTCCCCTTTCCCAACCCCCCTTCCCCACTCCTCCCCAACCCCCTTCACTCCATTCTCTTGCTCATACCAGGACATCCTGCTTCTCCTGATTCTATTGCCTTTCCTTCTATTGCCTTTCCCATAACAGGATATCCTGTGCCACTCTGAGTGGGCGCAAGCCCCCCCTTATTATAAAGCAAGATAGCCCAGGAGACAATTCCGAGAAAAATCAAAACTCGTACCAGGATATCCTGTGCCACCCATGCGTCAGGGTGGATGTAACCCAACCCAACCCAACCCAACCCAACCCTGTGTAGTCATACCAGGATATCCTGTGCCACCCATGCATCAGGGTGGTTGCGGAAGATAGCCCAGGTGATGGTGAGGGCGAGGGAGAGCAGGAAGGAGGAGAGGGAGAGCCCGGAGACGAATCCAAGGAGGGGGAGAGCAACGCCGTGAGGAGACTGGAGTGGGAAGAGCCTGGAAAGAAAGAGAGAGAGATGCGGGGAGGGGGAATGGGAAGAGACACATTAACGGAGGAGGAAGGGTACTAGACCAAGCAGAGAGGAAGGAGGAGAGGGAGAGCCAAGAGACGAAGCCGAAGAGGAGGAGAGCAACGCCGAGAGGAGATGAGAAAAACAAGAGAATGGAGAAGAGCCTGGAGGGAGAGGATGAGAGATGCGTGTGGGGACGAGGGCGAAGGGAGAACAAGCGAAGGAGGCCTGAGGAGCGGGAAAAACAAGAGAGAAATCCGAAGATGGGAGAGAAATCCGAAGATGGGAGAGAAATCCGAAGATGGGAGAGAAATCCGAAGATGGGAGAGAAATCCGAAGATGGGAGAGAAATCCGAAGATGGGAGAGAAATCCGAAGATGGGAGAGAAATCCGAAGATGGGAGAGAAATCCGAAGATGGGAGAGAAATCCGAAGATGGGAGAGAAATCCGAAGATGGGAGAGAAATCCGAAGATGGGAGAGAAATCCGAAGATGGGAGAGAAATCCGAAGATGGGAGAGAAATCCGAAGATGGGAGAGAAATCCGAAGATGGGAGAGAAATCCGAAGATGGGAGAGAAATCCGAAGATGGGAGAGAAATCCGAAGATGGGAGAGAAATCCGAAGATGGGAGAGAAATCCGAAGATGGGAGAGAAATCCGAAGATGGGAGAGAAATCCGAAGATGGGAGAGAAATCCGAAGATGGGAGAGAAATCCGAAGATGGGAGAGAAATCCGAAGATGGGAGAGAAATCCGAAGATGGGAGAGAAATCCGAAGATGGGAGAGAGAGCCAGCAGCAAACGAATGAAAGGGAGAGCCCTCCAGAACGAATTTGAAGGGAGTGAAAGGCGGGGCGAATTGGGGAGAGAAAGGGAGAAGGGGAGCGGAATGGTCCAGGTAAACAGAGGTAAAAGTGATGGTGCACGGAAATGGCAGAAAGATTTGCTCCTTGTTAGAGAAAGAGTAAAAAACTGAGGGATGAGAAAATTTTGGGGATGAATTCGCATGGGAACGATGGGAGTGGTGGCGAGAAGGAAGAGTAATGTAGGGGCGGATATGGCAAAAATGGGGTGGCGCAGAAAAGGGGAGCGAGCAAGGAAGTCGAAAGGTCAAGGAACGGGAGGGAGCAAGGAAGAGGGCGGGAATAAGGAAGAGGAAAGGTTGACAGACCTGTGGAGGAGCGAGGAGAGGCACACATAGAGCGACTGCATGGAAAAAAACAGGATACAGGGGCATGTCGGGGCATACAGTGGCATACAGTGGCATACAGGCACATACAGACGCATACTAGAGCGAGAGGTGGGGGACCACAGGGTCAGGAGTGACAGATACAAAAGAGGATGTTAAGAATGGAAGTGATTCTTGAGTCGACTAAAAACTCGGCCGCACGGAGAAAGACAGGAGACGAGAGGTGGGGGGGGGACACATGATCAGGAGTAAGAGGATACAACAAGAACACATGCTGCATGACAGGGTCGCACATAAAATGCATGCAAAAGGGGAGGAGCGTGAGGATGATGTCGAAGACGAGAAGCTGGAGGAAGCAGCCCCAGGGCGAGAAGGGGCGACATGAGGACAAGACAAGAAGGGAGCGTGAGGATGAGGGGCGACATGAGGACGACAAGACAAGAAGGGGTGGTTTTGAGTCGACTCGAAGGGGCAACAGCTGCTGGAGACTTGAAGGGGCAACAACAGCTGCTGGAGACTTGAAGGGGCAACAACAGCTGCTGGAGACTTGAAGGGGCAACAACAGCTGCTGGAGACTTGAAGGGGCAACAACAGCTGCTGGAGACTTGAAGGGGCAACAACAGCTGCTGGAGACTTGAAGGGGCAACAACAGCTGCAGGAGGAGAGTGCTGCAGAAGAAAGTGATCCCTCCTCACCTCGAGCGCCGCAACGCAGAAGAGCGTGAGGATGATGTAGAAGACGAGGGGCGACATGAGGAAGAAGAGCAGCAGCAGCATGACAGACGACATCACCACGAAACCCACTGCTGACCCCACTGACATGTCATACGCTCCCGAGGAGTCGCCTTGTGGCTGGAGTATTGGGGAGGAGAGAGGGGATATAAATGAGGTGGACATGAGCAGGGGTTGCAGCAGCAGTGCTTTGTGACGTGTATTGAGACGTGTTTTGAGACGTCTCAAAACACTCCTTCAATCACGGGAGGAGAGAGGGGATATAAATGAGGTGGACATGAGCAGGGGTTGCAGCAGCATCACAGACAGCATCACCACGAACCCCACCGCTGACCCCGCTGACATGTCGTAACTTTTGAGTCGACTCAAAAGTCTCCTACTGACATATCGTATGCTCCCGAGGGGCCGCCCTGGGGCTGGTAGGGACAGTGGGAGTGGGGAAGAGGAGACATGAATACGGGAGACAGGGGCGCAGGCCGAAGCTGACCCCACCGACATGTTGCACGCTGGCTGGTGCCTGCCTATGGCACGGGTCAGCAAGAGCAGACCAGGAGATCACGAGGAGATTAGCTGGAGGGAGTTAAGGTACGACAAAGCGAGGTTTGGCGAGAACAATAAACATCCCTGCGTTCGCGGCTGCGCCCTTCAACTGCTCTGCTAGCTGGCTCACTCACTCACTCACACATCCTCGCATGAAAGCGAAGCCCATCACCATCATCACCCGCCCCAAACTTGTCCCCACGTTTCAACACCCAATCACTGCACCTCTTCTACTCCCCCACCACATCCTCCTTCCCTCCCCCATCTTCCCCCGTTCCCCCCCCCCACTCCCCCCGTACCTGGTCCGCCAGGGACTGCCCCGCGCCACTCTTCCCTTCCAGCGCGGCCTTCTCCTCCGCGGCAGCCCACGCGGACGCGCCCACGAGCGACAGCAGCGCCAGCGCCCACAGCACCAGCTCTGCCAGGTCCAGCAGTGACCGCGGAGGCGCGTACAGGGACACAGTGACTGGCGCGGCGGAGGCGGAGGCGGAGGGGGAGGCGGAGGCGTTGGAGAGGGCTTGAAGGAGGAATTGGCCTGACGAGTTGGAGACCATGACCACCGGTATAGTCACAACGCCTTCAGTCAAGTCTGTTGCGTTGCAACCCATGCCAATGATACCTGCCACGGGGAACCCACGTACAAGTTTTGAGCCGTCACAAAGGAGGCCTTAGCTGAAACTTACCTAACTCTATGCATTGACACATATGCTGAAACACACCCAATCACTATCACAAATACATGACCCCAAAGCGTTAAAAACACGATCAAATCACATGTACAAAACGTACATCAAGTCCCATTCACATTCAAATCGCCTGCAGGCCATACCTTGTTTGTTGTTGACCATGATAGCAGCAGCAGCTCGCAGCCGCTGCACGCGGAGGGCCTTCGAGGCTAAGCTGCACTCGCCTTTTGAGGCGCCTCAAAAACGAAAAAAACACATCAAGTCCCATTCACATTCACACCACCTGGGTTACCTTCTTCACTGTTGATGACGATGGCATTAGCTGCTCCCAGCCGCTGCACGCGGAGGGCCTTCGAGGCGAAGCTGCAGTCGCCTCGCTGCACTAACACTGCCTGGCCCTGAAACTGGCATTGGGGAGATGGGTGAAGGTGGGCGGAGGATACGGAAAGAAGTGAAAGACAGGAGGCATGAAGACGTGAAGAAGCGGAACATGGAGTGAGGTTGAAAAAAAGCCAAGGATAGAAGCACCTGCGCGACAAATTTGACTTCAGGAGCATGGTGACTAACGAGGGCGAGGAAAAAAGACGGGGCTCTGAGCGCACGTACTGAAGGGAGAGGAGGCAGGGGGTCGGAACAAGCAAGCAGGGGCTGCATCTGCGCAAGGGAGAAGGAGAGCGCGTCAGCCTTGGTCTTCGGAAGCCCCGCGCCGAAGCTGGCTTCGAGAGCGAGGATTTGACGGTCATTGCTGCCGCTGATGGTGGCGTTGCCTCCCACGTGCACGGAAAGCTTGACCTGAGGTGGGGGGATGGTGAAACGAGATGATTTTTGAGTTGAATCAAACACGAATCTCGAGGTCACTGCCGCCGCTGATCGTGGCGTTGACTTTCACGTGCACGACAAGCTTGACCTGAGGTGAGGAGGAGGTGGGATGTGAGTTTCAGTCGACTCTAGAGTCGTATTGGGCTGATTATTCAAGCTAAGTTGAGGGGATGGTGGGATTGTGAAAGGATTGTGAGGAAACTCGGAGATTGTATCAAAGATGACTATGATGAGGCAAGGAAGGGATCGCCGTACCATTTCCACGCTGTTATCGCATCCTTGTCGCGGAGACTGTGCGCTTACGGACGGCGGACACAAAATCAGGACGAGCGAGAACAGCGATAGTAACAGAAGCCGTAGTGACGCTACACCCGGAGTGTGCTGTACAGGCAAGCATGATCGGCGAGTACTCGGCGCTCGGGTCAACCATCGACGGTCCATCTCAGACAGTACGACGATACGGTTGCTAATTAAAGAATAACGTATGCGTTGGATTCGTGATGCTTCGGGCGGGACGAACTGGCGTCAGAATCTGCTACTTTAGAGACGTCCCTAACCTCGTGGGAGTCTGCTAATAAACTCTCGACAAGCTAAGCTTATCCTCGCTAAGATCACGCATCAACTTCTTAACGAGTAAAAAAAACCACGGATTCCTGACCAAGGACCAACTCGGTCCTCTCCCGACGACGGCACGGAGGGGAATCTCGGAACTGTCAGCCGTGAGGGAGACCTATGGCTGACAGATAAGACAATGAGGATCAACAATTGAACTCGTCGACACGAGAGTTCCGTTGAAAGGTCGGGCAAATTCTAGGTTGGATTGGCTCTACTGCAGGATACCACTCTCTAACGTGTGCAAACGTACTACACCGTACTCGACGACCGAACAATGACATTGAAGGGTTACTTCCGAAGCTTTGAAGCTGGTTCGACGTGGACCTGTGGTCTTCTGACACTACGACCACGTCGTCAGTTTCGAGGGCTTTCCCGCGCATTTGCTGTCTGAAAAAAATGCAAATTCTGTAAGGATTTACAAATCCTTACTGAGGCACTCGTTAGCGAGGCCATCCCGAGGGTCACGCGACGAACCTGTCTTGCCTATTTCGTCGCACCGAACCACCCCCGAATCGGCCTCCGCTCCAATCGCAACCATCACCGAGCCATCCCATCCCGAACCCCCCGCCTAGCTAGCTCTTCCCCTATTTAGGCCTCCCTACTTCATTGTTTGTTCATTCAGTAATTCAGTAATTTCCATTCTCGTTATTCGTTTTACTGCGCACTCTGCAAGTTGATTCATAACAAATTCTATATATTCAAGCGTGTTACGAGTGCAATTGAGTGAACGAACGAGAATTGCACTATCGAAGCAAGAGTACAATGAGCGAAGGCATGAGCGAAGAATATATAGCGAAACTACAGTGGTAACGGTAATGGACTGTGGTTGTCGCGCGACGGGCCTGGGACTGAGGTTGGGAAAAAGTGTCGAAGCGGAGGCCCGGAGCGCGGGTTACCCGCCGAGCCGTGAGGTTGGGGTGCGACGTGCGAAGGTGGCGGGCGGATTGTCGATGCGAGGATTGTGAGTGGTAACGGTGCTGACTGTGGTGCTACAGTGATGTACGCGTTGAGCAGGGATGCGAAGTAAGGAAAAGGGATTTTCCTTACTAAGCGTCATAAAAGTCATGATATTTTTAGGATGTCTTACTAGGTGACCACCTTACGCAAATTTTATCATTTACACTCAGCCCCACTAACTACTCTCGTCTCCCTGCCTACAAAAGTGTGCCTCCTCATGCTCATACTCGTCGTCCTCATCACCCCCATCCATTTCCTCCATCTCATCATTCTCCTCCGCTTGCTCCGCATTCTCGCACAGCCTCGCATACTCCCTGTAGATCTTTCGGCTCTTGAGCCACGTCATAATCGTCATGACTGCAAGGCCGACAATTGCCAGCCCTCCAAGCGCAAAAATGGCAATGTATTTGGGGCTCAAGGTGCTTGAAGCGATGTATTTCACCTCCATGTCACAAATCCCCGCCAGTGTCCCTTCCGGAAGCTTCTCCGCTCCAGAAAGGTCCTCGTTACAAGTCTTCGGGAGCTTCCAGATGTATGTTACGTTGTGCACACCGTTGGCGTCGGTGCAAGAGTCCTCAAATCTCTGGTAGTCGTCCTTGGTGCAGGGAAGGCAGTACTCATCAGGAGGTAAGGGCACCTGGGGATTTGGCTGGCAAAGCTGCCAGTTTGGAGGGGTTAGAGGAAACAGGTACTCAGGAGAATTGAGCAAGCATACATCACCAACATGAAGAGCCAAGCCTGCGCCTTAACTCAAACACAAATTCAGGACAACATCTCCACAATAACCAAACCGAACACTTCTCCTTTCAGTCCTCCGCACCCAGCTACACCCAACCACAATCCACCCTTGGCTTGAATCACAGAAAACAGCCGTCTCTTGGTCATCTCCCCACTTCACCTGCCCCTGCCCCTGGAAACCCAATGAGTAGAGTACTCGTAAATGTAAATGTAGGTCAAGCAGCATACCCTTGGGGTCTTGTATTTGTAGATGAAGCGCTTGTTGTCGATACAAATGGCAACGGCCACGGGCTCCATGTCAAGCACGGTGCACAGCGGGCAGGCATACGCCGTGTACCACACCATCTGGAACAGACACGATACCGGCGCCCGCAAACCCCTTCAAACCCCGTCCGACCGCCTGCCGTTTCCACCCTCATCCAACTCCACCCAACCCAACCAGATCCCACTTTACCTGCCCCTAGGAACACAGAGAGCAACGCACCCTTGGCGTCTTGTATTTGTAGGTGAAGCGCTTGTTGTCGATGCAGTTGGCAACGGCAACAGGCTCCATATCCAGCACAGTGCACAGCGGGCACGCATATGCCGTGTACCACACCATCTGGAACAGGCATGAGACAGGCGCCTCGCGCCCCACGGGGATGACATCGCCCGACCGATTGGCCCATGCCGGGTAGGAGAGGGTCGGGTTCAGAGCTGCCTTCTTGCCCCCCTCCGTCCATGGCTCTGGGTGGCCGTAGCCTGGGGGGAACGGAGAGAGAAAGAGAGCGTGGAGAGAGGAGAGAGGTGAGGAAGAAGTGGGGAGGGGTGTGCCGGGTACCACACCACCTGGAAGAGGCAGGAGCCAGGCGCCTCCTGCCCTATCAATTGCCCCACCAGCCTTATGGTCGTACCAGCCCTGGGGTCACAGATGAGGTTGGGGTTGAAGGTGCTGGGGGCATCAAACATTGGGCAGCTCTCCCCGTTAAACGACATCACCAGCCCTCGCCACCAGCCTCAGAATCTCACCACCAGCCTTATGGTCTTACCTGCCTCGGGGTCACAAATGAAGGTGCTGCGGGCATCGGACATTGGGCAGCTCTCCCCGTTGAATGACAGCACCAGCCCTCGCCGCTCTTTTGAACTCAAAGCAATACTGCTCTTATGACTTCAACTAGACGCCTCACTCACCAGCCTCGGGGTCACAGATGAAGGTGAGATTGAAGGTGCTGGGGGCGTCGGACATCTGGTGAAGGCTGTACAATCAAGGTGCTGAGTTACATGTACATTCAGGTGCTTGTGCAATAGTCTAAACTCAAAGCCTCACCAGCCTCGGGGTCACAGATGAAGGTGAGGTTGAAGGTGCTGGGGGCGTCGGACATCGGGCAGCTCTCTCCGTGGAACGACATCACCAGCCCTCGCCGCTGCAGCTGCGGCTCGGAGAAGCTCCCCAAAGGGGCCAGTGACACGGTGTCCCCCAGGCTGTGGGCCGATGTGGCTGTACTGTGCTCATTCAGATTCGGGTTGATCTGATGGGGAGCGGGAGGGGAGGCGGGGGTTAGGGAGGGAGGAGAAAGGATGTGAAGGGAAGTGGACAGGATGTGGCTGTGCTCTGCTCATTCAGACTAGGAGGGGGGGGCGGGGAGGGAGAAAACGGGGTGATGGAGGGGAGAGTGGAGGGGAGACGAGGAGAACGAAGGTGAGAGGGAAGGAAATGATACTTAAGTGTAATCGAAATCAGCAGTCAAAAGCAAACAAACATGCAAGAGTCAAGGCGAGGAGCGTCTGGATATCGATAGGGCGGTTTGGCTTGGAACCAGGGCACTCACCCGGCACACATAAGTGTTGTTGAGAGGCTTCCCACTGTACATGATACACGGATACGTCGTGTTGGAACAAGTCACGTTTGCGCGCCTGCTCACCACCTTGCCACCAACAAACGCTTGAGACGCCTCAAGAAGCACTCACCCGGCACACATAAGTGTTGTTGAGGGGCTTCCCAGTGTACATGATGCACGGGTACTTCGTGTTCGCTCTCTCTCCCTTGCCGCCCCTGCCCCCCTTCCCACCACCACTATCACCACTCCACACACCACCACCCCCAGCCGCACCACCCCCAACACCAGCACCCCCAGCAGCAGCAGAGGAAGCGACAGGGCGATACACAGCGTTATCACTGTTGCTGCGAGCACACACCGACACATAGTACTTAGGACCCTTCTGCAGGTCTACAAAGGATGGGCCTTCGTATATGGGGCCCACGAGGCGGCCCAGGTTCTGGTGCGCGAGGGGGGAGAGGTCGTAGAGGAGCGTGTCTGTACTGTTGAAGGAGCGGACGATGAAGGTGCAGAAGGAGGAGGGCGAGGTGATGTCCCCTATGGCGCACTCCGCACTGCCCTCCAGAGAGGATGTGCCCAGGCCGCACGGCTGGCAAGCAGTGCGGTTGCCCTGAGATGGTGGCAGGGGAAGGTAGAGCAAAGGGCGAGATGCGAAAAAGGTTGACTGAGAGGGAGGTGAGAGGTCGTAGAGGAGCGTGTTGGTGGAGTTGAAGGAGCGAACAATGAAGGTGCAGAAAGAGGAGGGCGACGTGACGTCCCCTATGCGAAAGATGTTCCCAGGCCGCACGGCTGGCAGGCTGTGCGGTTGCCCTGAAATGTTTGCAGGTGACGAGGACAGGGTGGGAATGGGGAAGGGGAGAGAAGAGGCAGGGTGAGAGACTCCATTGGAGCACTGGGGTCGGGAGAAGGGATGTGACGTCCGCAATGCTGCACTCCGCACTGCCTTCCAGCGAAGATGTCCCTGGTGAACAACACGGCTGGCAGGCAGAGCGGTTGCCCTGAGACAATAGGGGAGAACGGGGGAAGGAGGGACTGGCTAGCGCCATCATGGTGCACTCAATACGGATGAAAAAAAGGGGGAATCTGAGAACACAACTGCACTCACTGCTCGCTTCAGGTTGAAGGTGTTGGCAGGGCACTTCTCACACAGCCCTTCCCCGCCCTCACTGTAAAACCCAGCAGCAGCGCATTCCTCCCACCAATCCTCACTCTGCCCTTTGCTTAAGGAGCCAAAGAGTAAAACTAACCGCAGGTTTCGGGTTGAAGGTGTTGGCAGGGCACTTCTGGCACAGCCCTTCCCCGCCCTCACTGTAATACCCAGCAGGACACTCCTCCCACGCGTCCCCGCTCTGCCCCTTCTGCGCGCCTGCAGGGATGCGCACACACCCGGGCGCGCCCCCCTGTGCCGCCCCCCACACGCGCACGCTGTGCAGGATGGCAGAGGAGCGATCGACGGAGGTGCGATCGGCGTTGAGGGTGACCCACACCCACATGATGCGGTGGCTGCCTGCTGCCAGCGGCCAATGCTGGCTGCTGCTGCGACCCACTGGCACGCTCACGCCCATGCTGCCCCCGTCCTGAGGGAAGGTGGGAGGGGAAGATGGAGAGAGGAGTGGGTGAGAGAAAAAGGAGACAAGAGCAGAGAGGTTTGCGATCAGGTTGTCATTCATGTAAGAGAAAAGGTAAAGTTGCGATCACCTTCTCAGAAATCCCACCAACCTCACCTTCTCAGCACATGCTCATTGTCCCGCAACACATGCCCACCATACCTCGGTATTCTCCAGCAGATTATCGTCCACATGGAAGAGGCCGCGCTGCAGGTCACCTTATCGTTGACATCACCCACCTGAATACCACACAGCACTGCTCAACATCGCCTGACGCTCACTACCTCACAGCACCGCATATCACACCTCGATGTTCTCGAGCAGGTTGTCGTCCACGTAGAAGAAGAGTCCGCGCTGCAGGTCGCCAGGAGGGATGTCCACGTCAAAGTCGTATGTGATGTAGCCAGGGATGGTGAGATTCACTGTGAGTGCCAGCCACACCTGCGGGGAGACGGGAGAAGGTGGTAGGCAATACAAGGAGTAGATGATGAGAATGCTTGGCAAGTGTGGTTGGACTCATGAACAGGTCCCCAGGAGGGATGTCGACGTCAAAGTCGTATGTGATGTAGCCGGGGATGGTGAGATTCACTGTGAGCGGGCCAGCCACACCTGCAGGGAGGGGGAAACGAGGGAGATGAGAATCAGGAGGTGGTATGGTTTGGCACATGGACAAGCAAAGTCATATGTCATGTAGCCGGGGATGGTGAGATTCACAGCCAATGCTAGCCACACCTGCGGAGACAAGGGAGAGTGGTGGGGAGGGGTGAGCTTGGGTGGCACATAGACAAGCAAAGTCGTATGTGATGTAGCCGGGGATGGTGAGATTCACCGTGAGTGCCAGCCACACCTGCAGGGAGAGGAGAGAGGGAAGGAGGATGGAGAGAATGGGAACGCGCCATGTTACGGCGCATGGTCACACGTTATGGCGCATGGTCACACGATATGGTGCATGGTCACACGATATGGTGCATGGTCACACGATATGGTGCATGGTCACACGATATGTGATGTAGCTGGGGATAGAGCGAGGGGGAGGGAAGACACGGTTGAGAGGACGATGAAACAAAGTAGGTGATACTGTCGGACCAAATTCACCTCCCGCGAACCAAATTCACTCAACCAACAAACACACTTACAGAAACAGCTTTGCCGTTATTTGCCCCCACCACCCAAGATCAAGTGCACTTAACTAACAAACACACTTACAGAGGCAGTCTTGCCGTTATTCGCCCCCGAGTCCAGATAATCCCCCACCACTCGCCACCCGCCTGACCCACACTCCCCACTGCATCCAGTCTGGAAGCCGCTGGGAAGCTTCCCGTCTTCCACGGTGCGGAAGTGCTCCAGCAAGAGCATCCTCACTGCCGCCTCGCCAGGCTGGCACGGGTGGCAAGTTTCGTCCGATGTGGTTGAGGGGGCTGCAGAGGGAGGGGCAGCCGCGCCTGGAGGGGGGAGTGGTTGTACTGTTGATGCTTCTGAGACGTTCCGCGCTGTGCCCTGAAAAAGGGAGGGAAGGGGGATGGAAAAAGGAAGAGGAAGGGAGGAAGGAACATGGGAATGGCAGGGAGGAGAGCAACGTGAGGGGAGGAACGAGTGTTGCAGATTGAGGAAGACAATGGGAGGTGGGTGGGGGTTAGGGCGGTTAGCCAGAGAAGCATCATACAGGGTGGCTGCAAGAGTTTCAAACGAAGCAGGGATTGGCTAGAGGCAGATGGCAGAGAGAATGAGTGAAGGCAGAGAGTGAAGGCACAGAGTGGCTGGGCAGACGGCCAAGAGAGTGGGTGGGGCGAGGGCGTACAGTGGGGCAGAAGGTGCAGGTGAGAGTGTCAGTGGCAGAATCCACAACTGCGTACTGCCCTGACGGGCAGGGCTCTGCACACACGGGGCCAGAGGGAGGGAAGAGAGATATGTGCCAGGGAAGCGGCAATAGGGAGAAAGAGTCGACTTTTGAGTCGACTCAAACGTCAGCTCTGCACACACGGGGCCAGAGGGAGGGAGGAGAGATATGTGCCAACCTGGCAAGGAAGGGGTGACAGGGAGAAAGAGAAACACATGGAGGTGATTCCTGAGGTGCCTCAACGATGGTCTCATCTCACAGAAAGGGAGAGAGGCATGTGCTGAGAAATGAGTGGTAGAGACAGAGAGATGCATGGAGGCAGTGGCACGCCCTGCGTCAGCGCCAATACCACTGATCCATGCACTACAGAGACGTGCAGAGCCGGGCTGTAGCCAAGACTCAGTGGAGAGGCAGTGGTGTGAGAAGAGAGGCGGTTACCGCATGGCTCGGTGGTGTTGGGAGGGAGGCCATGGGCGGGGTCGGGCTGGCAGACTTGAGGGGAGAGCCACGACCACACCCTGGTGCGCGTGCGCGAGGAGGCAACGCAGGGGGTGAAGGTGGGCGTGGCGTCTACTGTCACGTTGCACACTGGAAGGGGGGGAACGGGTGAATGATATGGAGAGTGAATGACACTGATACGCCTTGGTGAGATCCACGACGACCGCACTCACGTGCGCGTGCGTGACGAGGCAGCCAAGGGGTTGAAGGTGGGGGGGTTCAAGTATTCAGGTGTTGCACAGGGATGAAATCATGGAAATAGTCACAAAGCTCTGGGTGTACTGGGTGTGGGGCATGGTGAGGGTGGGGTGCACTCACGAGGGCGTGGGGTGCATTGGGTGCGGGGTGTGGCGAGGGCGAACGTGGTGCTGTTGCACGCCTCGCACTGGCCTGACCCCTCCCTGGTTGAAGGTGGCAGGGGAAAAGGACATGTGCGCGAGAGGGGAATGGGGGAAAGGGAAAAGAGGCGTGGGGAGACAGGAAGGTTTTTGGAAATGTGTGGAGAGCGTGTGAGAGCACGGTGCGCAAATTGCAGCAAGGCATTAAGAAGCAAGGGAGAAAGGCATAAGAAGCAAGGGAGCGAGACAATAGAGTAGAGGGTGAGGGAGTCATAAGCAGCAGTGGGACGGCTGTGGAAAGGGAAGTTGTAAACATGGTGGGCATAAGGGCCGTTCCTTTTGTAAAGACACACACCACGTGGTGTGTGCGATTAGGAGGGAAGGAGGAGAAAGAAGAGAACTAGGAGAGATAGGAGATAGGGACGAGGGGAGAGAGAGGAAAAAGAGGAGAGTGAACAGAGAGGAGAGAGGGGAGAGAGGAGACAGAGAGGGGACAGGGGGGGAAGAGAGGAGAAAGGATCGAGTAGAAAAGGAGAAGATGGGAGAGGGAGGGAGGTGAGCGTACGCTGAGATGTGGTCGGGAGGGCATGCTGTGCAGTTGGTGGCTTGCTCCCCACTGATGAGAGGATGACATCATGAGGAGCATGGGAGCATGTGATGATGAGAGGAGTGTGGTGAGGGGAAGCACAATCCCACACACACAGGCGTGCGTACCCACTCGCAAACACACACTCACTCACCCACCCACACCCCTCTCTTCCCCCCTCCCACACACAAAAAACGCACGCACGCAGAAACACAACCACACGCACACAAAGGCACACGAGGATTGTCCAAGCAGCAGCTCAGGAGAAAAAAACACAGCAACAAGAAGCATTGTGATTCATGAGGTGAGCACACTGATAATGCAGCAGCAGCAGCGGGAGCATGCGCATGCAGCAGCTCAGAAAGCGAGTGGAGTGGAGAAGCAGACAAGACCTGAAGAAGCCGGCAGGGCATTTGAGGCAGGCTGAGTCGGTGAATGCAATGCCGTCCACCTCCAGAAACTGCAGGTTAGATGTGAAAGGGAGGCATGCAGAGAGAGGGAGGCATGCAGAGATAAAGAGGCAGATGGAAAGAGAGGCACACAGAAAGTGCGATCACAGTTTAGAAACTTTAAACGCTTCAAATTCAGAAGGTTTAGACATGGTGTAGAAACTAAAAGTGTGGAGGAGGACGGGCAAAAAACATAGAAGCAATTATTTTCAACTCTACAGCAACACATACGACCGTGGGGGGTGAGCCAAGGACCAGAGCTGGAGTTGCAAACCCTACACCTGTAGGGCGGCAGAGTCCCTGCCCTGCGTGAATGAGGAGCCTTTGACATCAGATTCACGTGAGCGCATGTGCCTGCCTGCTGCCAGTTGTGTTTTGGTCGCCGCAAAAACACAAGCTGGCTACCAGACCGACAAAAGCCACACACCACCTGTAGGGCGACAGAGTCCCTGCCCTGTATGAATGACGAGTCCTTGACATACGCCCACACGAGCGTGTGCCTGCCTGCCCACAGCGAGTTGTGTTATTGAGTTGACTCAAAACACGAAATGGTTACCAGACTGGCAAAAGGCACACCTGTAGGGCGGCAGAGTCCCTGCCTTGTGTGAACGACGAGTCCTTGACATACGCCCACACGAGCGTGTGCCTTCCTGCTGCCAGGGGGAAGCGGACCTCCTTAGGATCGAACTGCAAAGGGAGAGGGACCAAGGGAGTTTTAGGGCACGGGAGGGTTGAAAACCGGAAAGTTGAGAAGGGAAGGACGTAACTCTGATAAGGGTGCAGCTTACACACAAGAGTGCGGACAAAGCAGCACCTGGTGCAGCACTCACCTGGTGCAGCACTCACCTGGTGCAACACTCACCTGATGCAACACTCACCTGATGCAACACTCACCTGATGCAACACTCACCTGGTGCAACACTCACCTGGTGCAACACTCACCTGGTGCAACACTCACCTGGTGCAACACTCACCTGGTGCAACACTCACCTGATGCAGCACTCACCTGATGCAGCACTCACCTGATGCAGCACTCACCTGATGCAGCACTCACCTGATGCAGCACTCACCTGATGCAGCACTCACCTGATGCAGCACTCACCTGATGCAGCACTCACCTGATGCAGCACTCACCTGATGCAGCACTCACCTGGTTGTAAGCCAGCAGCATGGCGGGGGTGTTAAGGTCGTCGATATAGAACACCAGTCCATCCCGCTGCCGCTCCGAGCTCACTGTGAAGCGGAATGTGACATACCTGGTGGTGGGTGGGGTGTATGGGCGGAGAGGGAGGAGGAAAGGAAGAGAAACAGGGCTGTTGAGTCGACTGGAATTCTCACCGCTCTGAGCTCACTGTGAAGCGGAATGTGACGTACCTGGTGGTGATGGATGGGCAGGGAAGGAGGAGGAAAAGTGGGTGGGGTGAAAGGCGACAAGGACTCAAAGGGCGAGTTTGAAAACTATGCCTTCCCTGTAAAGTGAGAAGGACGGGGAGGGAGTGCAGGAGGAGGGAGTGCAGGAGGAAGTGGTCTAAATGTAGTTGAATTTGGCTCACCCGTCCCTGACGAGAGTGAGTGGCAGCTTGAGCGAGGACTGCAGGTTGTTGTGGCACGTCATGTTGGTGAAGTACGCACACTCCTCCTGCTCACACGGCCACAACAACAGAGATGAGTAACGGTTGCAGTGAGAGAGCTTTTTGAGGCGCCCTCAGAAAGCGAGGACTGCAGGTTGCTGTGGCATGTCATGCTGGTGAAGTATGCACACTCCTCCTGTTCACACGGCAATGAAATCGATGGATAGTGACTGCAGTGCATGGATGGTGGCATCAGTTAGTCAGGAAAGATGTTTTCCTGTGGAAAAGGAGTAACTGCACGTGTGTTAATCAGATCACGAATGGAAAAAAACACATGCAGAAACATCAGCACGTGAAACGGGCACACGGGCACATGAGCACACTCCAATGTGTCACGGACATGTAGCAGTCAAATGAATGGACTGCTGGGTCACGCAAACACCACCCATTCTCCTGCACTCACCATCACCCAGTATACAAAATTCACCAGGCAGGCACCAGCGAAATTCCATTATGCTCCATTCCACACACAAGCACCGCACCGCACTGCACACCTCGAGCCAGTAGTTGGCAGGGTCGTAGGAGCCCACTTTCAGCTGCCCCTCCTCCGCATACCACCCCTCACAGGGGAACGTGCCCGTGTTGTTGCTGAACGAGCACTCTGTCTGCATGGCAATGGGTGAATGATGGAAAGGGTGAGAGGAAGTTGGGCCGGAAGGCAACATTTTGAGTTTGGGAGTTACTTGAAGATAACATGCGCAAAAATGCTGCAGGGGTTGCCTGCAGAACCCCAGCTTGAAGTCAGGCATTCCCTAAAGCACAACACTTCGAGGACCTTAAGTTCAAGCATTATAAAGCACAGCATCCACCTGCAACACAACACCCTGGGTTGTTAACAAAGCATCGTGCTTTATGAATACTGTTTATCAAGCATGGCTCCCACCTGGAAAACCTTGGGGTCGAGGTCCTTGAAGGCATCATAAGACCTTTCAAAGACCTTAAGTTCAGGCATTCATAAAGCACAGCACAGAACCCACCTGCAACACAACACCCTGGGTTCAGGTGTTAATCAAGCGCAGCTCCCACCTGGAAGACCTTGGGGTCGAGGTCCTTGAAGGCATCATAACGGAACCCGCCTCCCATGCTATAGTAGCCTGCATGCGATAGACAGCAGAGGATAGAAAGCAGATGCGTAATGATGCCAAAGTGAAGGCAAAAGGCATTTGTACCCTTGAATCTTTGTCACAAAGAAGTTCCTGAATATATCAACAGGGCCGCAGTAAGGGACCTCTCAAATGATTTCAACAGTAAGAGAGTTACGACCAACCCTCTCCCCCATTCCCGCCCCTCCCCTTTCCTCCGTTTCCACACAGACACGAGTATACCTTGCGGGCACTTGTGACAGTTGTTGCCTTTGAGAAACATCCCCGGGCCACACCGCGTGTCTGCACACACATGCATTCAGTCAGTCAGAGACGCACACACACAGCAAGGCACACACACATATGCTTGCAGCCATAGGTGAACGCACGGAAACAGCAAGGCACACAAATGGATGGGCACGCATGTGGGAAAACAACGCATCCACACAGGAGTGAAAAAATGTACGTTTAGTGTGTATGCCAGCATTTATGCATGCATGTATGTGTGCAAGCAGGCTTGGGCGCAAGCACGCATGTGTGCAAGCAGGCATGTGTGAAGCAGGCATGGGCGCATGCACGCATGTGTGCAAGCATGCATGTGTGAAAGCATGCCTCACCGCATGGAATGTAGTCGCTGGGAGGGAGGGCAAGGGAGCCACGAGCAGCAGGGTTGCACTGATTGTCGAAATAGTACACCACCTGATGGTGGGGAGGGGAGGACGATATTATGGGATTCATGAGATGAGCTTTGACGAGCGTGCACGCTACATGCTGCAGGGTTGCACTGGTTTGTCAAAGTACTACACCACCTGATGGTGGGGAGGGGAGGATATGGGATGGCGGGGGAGAGGATAGGAAGTTAACAAAAGGTTTTTGAAGATTCTACACATCACAAACAGCAGGGTTGCACTGGTTGTCAAAGTAATACACCGCCTGATGGTGGGCAGGGAAGGATATGGGATGTCGGGGCAGGAAATATGGGGTGATGCGGGACGAGGATATAGGGAGGAAGGAGGAGGATATGGGGTGGTGAGAGTAGGGATATGAGGCTCATGGAGCATGTTATGATTTGAGGAGTCTACAGGTCATGTGCTGCAGGGATTGCACTGGCTGCCAGAGCTATACACCACCTGACTGCTGATTGGTGGCTGGGTGGGTCACGAATGTAGTCCAATCCCATGTGTGCGTGCCATGCCACTGCCAACTCTCCAGTGGGGTTTCTACATATGTCAACCACTAAAGAGCTGTGTCGAGCCTCTGGCTGTGTCAACTAAGTGAGATGAACGGCAGTAGAGGGACGCACCTGGATCATGCGAGTCTTGGAGAGCTGCTGATTGGTGGCTGGGTCACGGATGTAGTCGCACGTGAGGTACATGCTCTTCACGTTCGCCTCTGTGCATGGGACAGGCTTCAACTCTGCCCATGGGCATGGGTATGGGTATGGACACAGGCACAGGCACAGGCACAGGCACAGGGATGGGAAGGGTGGTAAGTGGGTCTCAAGGATTTCGCCACAGGTGAGGTTCATACTCCTCCTTCCCACGTTGGTCTCCATGCAGTGCAGTGCAGCAGACCTGAAGGACGGGCTTTGGGTCTGATGAGAGTGACAGGCGTGGGCACGGGAGTCGGGGCACCAAGAACGAAAGGTTGGAGAAGGCTGCTGCGACACTGAGGACAACGGAGCTGCTTGACGGCAAAGGCAGGCCCTGGATACAAGTAGGGTCAGAGTGCGGACTGCAGTGCCGGGTGAGTGCTGCGTGCTGCGTGGAGCGTGCTGTGTGCTACACTGCTGCTTACCACAGAACAGAAGGTCCACCGGGATTCGCTTCGACTCTTGCCCTCCCTGGCAGTCTATCGTTGCAGTGTGGGGGGGAAGCGGAGGGAAGCAGGGAGGGGGGAAAGGGGGGAGAAGCAGTGAGGGGAAACAAGTGAGGGGAGAAGTGAGAGTGAAACCAGCGAGGGGGAAATGCAGTGAGGGGGGGATGCAGTCGGGGGAAAGCAGTGAGGGGGGGATGCAGTGCGGGGGAAAGCAGTGAGGTACCTATGGATGAGTTGCTACATCCAGAGGAGATCCTAATGTCTAACAATTGAAACAGTACATTTGAAAGAGCTAGAGCACTTACTGCTTGGGCGATACTGCAAGTAGCATTTGCCATCATCCCCTTTCGAGTACTCCTTCGCATAGTCAGAAGGCGTACACGCTGCAAGCACACCGGGGGACGGGAGGGATTCCCAGGAACGAGACAGTCTGAGAAGTCAGCGTGCTGAATCTACAAATTTGGATTTTCACATGCTGGTTCCTTGAAAGAAACCAACCCACAAATTTAAGCTGCAGAAAACCGCATCGTAAACAGCAGGGAGTACAGACGACTAGTCTAGCAGCAACACAGGGAGTAGCGGAAAGGAAGACGGAAAGGATGGAGAGGGAGCTGACCGCAGGGCTCCTTGCGGATGTTTTCAAACTGGAACGGGTCGGCCATCTAGTCTAGCAGTGAACAGGAAAATGCGGAAAGGAGGAGGAAAGGGATGGACAGGGAACTGACTGACCGCAGGGCTCCTTGCGGATGTTTTCAAACTGGAAGGGGTCGGTGCAGTTGCGATTCGCCTTCTCAAAGTTAATCTCCCTCTTTCCATCTGCCACACCGCACCACGCAACACCACATCACACCACACCAGTCGTCAAGACATCGTAGTAGATCTTAGGATGTCTCGAAAGGTGTCGCTCTTATGCCCTGGTGCACGATACGGAACGATCTCAGATTCTCATGGCAACCATTTGCTTGAGCTTTCTAAACGATGCAAGCCTTTATAATTCATGATGCTGCATTGTGCGTGCTGCTTTGTCGTGAATGGCGTAAGGCAGTCTTACCACCAGTAAAAACTAATAACGGATACCTTGGACAAGACCATAATGAACTTGGGCAAAGCAAAATTACCTTGTCACGGTTGAGACCAGGTTACCACGAGACACCTTCTACGCCGAAAGCAGTTCAATACAATCCAAAGTTCTGCGACACTCTGTTTCTCAACTCGCAGATTACCTTGACAGGGTCCAGAAGCTCTGACGTAATCCGTCAGTTCGCACGTCTGACTGCCACTGGATTCTGGCAGTTGAGCCATCGTCCTCTCGACGCAAACGAAGATGGAGAATAGTACGGTGGACACAACAATCCTCGTGCGGACTGGCGCAGACACGTGGGATCCAGATCCGCGACGTGATCCTTTAGCGATTCGCGGTGCTTGAGAATCCATCCTGGCTAGAGTCGCTCGAAGTTTATCGCACGATTCGCCTATCCTGATGCCCTGGAGATGGAAAGTCCAGTCTTCTAGGGGAGCAGAGAATGGGGAAGCGAAAATATATGAAAATCGCCGCCGTTAATGGGCCAGGTCGACAACGGCGTTGACACGAAGCGAGCCCACTGTGAGTCGCCTGTTGACGCGACCTGCACCTATCCGAGCGACAAAGGTCATGGCAATGTCACCCGAAGCGGCCTCTACTGCCTATATCAGGGACCTCCTCCTCCTAGCGCCATGAAGTGCAAGTGAATCAGGAGTGGTGAATGGGTTGTGAATCGGACGTGACGACAATACGACAGGGAGCCTTCGGGACTGCCGAGATATGCTCGAAACTTTCAATAGAAGGACGTTCGCAGGTCAGATACTACAGTGGCAACATTTTCTATGAAATTAGCATGTACAACATCCTACTTCCAACCCTTATTTTCTACAAAGAAATCGGCATACTTGGAAAATAGCTGTGCACTCAAGGTCTGACACAAAAAGACCTCATTTCAGTCCTAACATACCACACACTAAATAACACAATTGTCGTTTCAGACCACCTAGTTAATCTCCTCCATATCGAGGATGAACTCCACTAGCTCAGCCTTGCGCATCCTCGAATACCCCCGCACTTTCCTTTCCTTGAGCAACGATTTCAAATCCTGGGCCGTCATCGCCTCAAGCGCATCTCGCCTCTTCACCCCATTCACACTCTGCGCTGCTTCCACCACCGCCTCGATATCTCCTACATCTTCTTCTTGGGTCACCGCTACTTCTTCAGCAGCACTGACTGATGCATCTGACACAGGAGCAGGTTCCAGCTGTTTCTCCTGAGCAGCAGCAGAACCAGACAGGTTCAGAACGACTTCTGTCAAGTGGGTGCCTGGGCGCGGTCTGGACTGGAACCTTGGGAATTGGCGCTTGAACTTAGAAGGCAGCCGGGGAGGAAGTGACGAACGCCATCGCGTGGCTGCTTCGACAAGCTCCTGTTCAGACAGAGAGGGAGATTGATTGAGTGTTTGGCCAACAATGGAACATGAGGGGAGAGGGGGGAGGGAGAACTGAACATCAGGCAACAAGATCAGGATCAATGGTGAGGGTTAAAGTTTACGGTGCTGATGACGAAGCTGACTTGCAAAATTATGGACAGGGTGGTATGGAAGGAGGGATGGAATGGGGGCAACAAGAGGCCACGCTAGTTAATGACATGGTTACACAAGGCAAACAAATTTCCCATGAAAAAATGGATGAAGACAGAGCCGTGTCCAGCGAGCTCACAAATGTGATGTGGAGCCGGTCTAGGAGTTCAATTTCGCAATGGGTTCATTACGGGATGGGTTTTGGGTTTTTCAGCACAAAAACCAGCTCACAAACTGGCAAAAGCCTGCACTCTTCCACGCGCGGTTATGTGGAAAGGCAAATGTTATCTGCGTTCCCTTCGTCTTTCCCGCCCGCAACAATGACAAAAGCAACTCACCGATTCATTGTCGCTGGGCTCGCCCGCTGCAGCCGCTGCCTCCAGTTTCCTCGCCATCGCATCCTTGAGCGGGCTCCGCTTCACAAATCTGGTGGGCGGCCGCTCGGGGATCGCAACAGCGACAGCAGGAACAGCAGTGGTGGCAGACGCATGGTCAGCAGAGGCAGCACTCTCAGCAGAGGCCTCACCTGCTGCAGTAACCACAGCTGCCCTCTCGTCCTCGTGAACCGCAGATGCTACTTCCGCCATCGCTCCCGCCACCGCGCTCCGCTTAGAGCTCTGCTTGCGCCGTGCATTGGCCACGGGGGACCGCTTCGCGAACCCCATGGGGCGCTGACGCGTAGCGGCACCTCCTACCGCTGCCGCTGGTTCTGCTGCTGCTACTGCTACTGCTGCCACAGGCTCCACTACCGTCTCCTCCGTTACAGGCGCTGCTGCCACCGCTGCAACTGCTGGCTCTATCTCAGCGGCTGGTGCCGACTCCGCTACGACTGCTGCCTCTGCCTCGACTGCTGCAGGATCTGCCTCGACTGGCGCAGGCTCTGCCTCGACTGCTGAAGGCTCTGCCTCGACTGCAGCGGGCTCTGCCTCGACTGCTGCGGGCTCTTCCTCTTTGGGAATATCGGCTAATGCGTTGTCTGCTGCTGCAGCGACTACTACCGGATCGGCGCTCACCTCTTCTTGCAACGCTTCAGTAGCCGTTGCTGCTTCTGCCTCCGCTTCTTCCACTCCTGCTGGAGCAATCTCCGCAACCTCAGCTGGAGCTTCGGGCTCAGCCGGTGCGGCTGTCTCGGCTACTGGCTCTGGCGCAGGCACTGGCTCGGGTTCAGGTTCCGGCTCTGGAACAGGCTCGGGCTCTGGTTGAGGTTCGGGCTCTGCAGCTTGTTCGGGAGCGGGCTCTGAGGCAGGTTCAGGGGTGGGTTCGGTTTCCTGTGCGGGTGTTGGTTCGGCAGAGACCTCAGGTGTAGGCTCTGGCGTTGGATCAATCATTGGGGGCGCCGAGGGGTCGACATCGCCGAAGGAGTAGAGAACGGTACCGTCAGGAAGCTCTGCTCCAAATTAGAGTTGAAATGTTCACAGGGAGGCACGAATGTTCTATCGTGAGTTTTTTTTAGAAAATGTAAGTCGTTAACAAAAAAAAGGTCTATTTTTAAAAGCTTAAAAAACAGAAGTCCTACTGACAAACAGGAAGTTGCAAACATCTATCTCGCGTGATAAAAAGAGAATGCATCAAGAACAAAATGAAGCAATACGTGAAAACAATCATACCTTTGATTTCGATAATGTCGAAGAACGAAGGGGGTTGGTTCTCATCAGATTGCGCTGCCATGGCTACGCACCGCCGACCATGGCTGCTCGACCTTGTTGAAATCCATGGAGAAACGGAAACCCGGTTTAACGTCTTTACTCCGCCAGAAGCTGTCTCCGCTACGACATTGCTCCGCGTTCTGCTCAGCGAGGCCGCCGGAGGCGGAGCGCAGAGCGACAACATGGAGGTTGCTGCCGCCGCACGACTGCTCAGCATTGTCTTACACAGGATTGAAGCGCGAAGGGCGGAGAGCTCTGGTCAGCCCAACTAACCAAGGCCCTACAATGACAATGATTCCAACAATGACAACGGCCTAGAGACAAACGAGAAGGACCATTGCGAAGGTTGCTGCTTGCATGTGTTGGGTTGTGGGGGGTTGGGACCTGCTGCTGCAATGCGGCCGCATTCAAGAATGCAACTCTGATGACATTTGGTTCGTCATACTCAACCAAAAAATGGTATGTATTGGAAGAGTGGTGCAGGAAGTACTGTTCTGCCTTTGCCAGAATGGGTGCGTATGAACCTTTGACTCCATTCAGAAGTCATATTCTCGAAGTTTCAACAGAAAACAGTTCCTTGGGAGTTCCGTTGGGCAGAAACTGCAGAATCAACAGATGAGCTGGCGGTGAGCGGGAAACTGTTGTACGTGTGGCTCAGCGTCCCTCGCGCGCACATCGTTATCCACTCATGAGAATCCACTCATGAGAATCCACTCGCTACAAAGGTGACTCGCGATAATCATTTTCCGTGCAGAGAATCAAAACTGCACTAAATCTGTTCTTCATAATTTGTAGGGTACAGCAAGAATAATGAGCCATTCAGCATCCACACATTGTCTCTTTCAAACGAGTATGCATTGGTCTGTCACCAAACGCGCTTCACACAGCAGCTGCATCTCTGCTAGAAGCAACCACCGCGATTCGCACTGAGCATGTCAGCTTTGCTGCCTGTAACATGGCTCCCTGCTCCGGCGTATTTGGGCCAAACCCGACTACTCTCGTCGCGTCGTAGTTCTCTCGCTCTCGCTGCTCCGTATCTGTTTCGCAGGACAAATTTAAAAAATCCTAGCCACGTAACGCAGTCCCGAAGTTCGCGTCTGAAAGTAAGAGCATCGGCGCCGGATATGGAGTCAGTTGCCGCGGAAGAAGCGGCGTCTAAGCCGCTCCACGCGGTGGTATGCGGGGGAGGCGTTATCGGCGCGTGCACTGCGTTTTACCTGGCGGAGAAGGGGGTCAAAGTAACGGTCGTCGAGAAGTGCCACGTGGCATGCGCTGCTTCTGGAAAGGCGGGTGGGTTCCTTGCATTGGATTGGTGCTCCGGCCCTACTGGGAAGCTCGCACAGGTGAGAGCCAAGTAACGATATTAAGTCACAATTGAGAATTCAAGAGCCACTAACACAACGTATAAAATTCAGTGAGTAATTCTTCACATACGTTGTTCAAAAGCCAGCAAAAGCCAGTATGTTAAGTCTATTCCCATTTTGCTCCCTTCTCCAATCCTTTCCCCTCCCTTTTCCCTACCAGCTGAGCTATCGTCTTCACGAGCAGCTAGCACAGCAGTTCGGTGACTGTTCAGCCTCCAAGGTGCACACGCTCAGCCTCCAGGTCGCCGAGCCCAAAAATTCGTCTGGCGGGCAGCGAACAAAGAACTCCACGCTGCCTGGATGGATAGACGGGCCAGTGCGGGGAGTCCAAACGATGGGATCGCCAGTCACAACTGCCCAGGTTCACCCACAACTGTTCACAGAGACTCTACTTAGAGTGGCTGGGGAGAGGCATGGGGTGGAGGTACAACTGGGGGAGGTTCAAGAGGTTGCTGTGGCGCCAGTGGGGGATGCTGCTGCTTCCTCTAAAGTCACTGGTGTGATTGTAGATGGTGCTACAGTGCCAGCTGATATTGTGCTGTTTGCACTGGGTCCTTGGTCCGGCAAGAATCGTCTCATAGCACGGCTGGGCCAGATTACAGGGCTGAAGGCGAACAGTGTCGTGGTCCGGCCGAACCAGAATCCCGATGCTGTGACCAACCATATGCTCTTCCTGCAGTACAGGACAAAAGACGGGCGGCATGCAGACCCAGAAATTTACCCCCGGCCATCGGGGGAAGTTTACCTCTGTTCCGTCACAGAAGGGGATAATTACCTTCCGGATAATCCTGAGGAAATCACCACCACCCCAGGCGTCCCAGAGTTCTTAAAACGAGTTGGAGCCACAGTGTCGTCGGCACTATCAGATGTGACTATAGTGAAGGAGCAGGCGTGTTTCCTGCCATGCTCCCAGGATAATGTGCCTGTAAGGCGCTGTGCCAGGGATGCAAGGGGCGTACGTAGCAACGGGGCACAGCTGCTGGGGCATTCTGAACGCCCCTGCTACAGGCCTGGCTGTAGCAGAGCTGGCTGTGGATGGCAGGGCTAGCTGTGTGGACCTTAGACCCTTTGACCCTGCTAGGTTCTTGTAATTTTTTTTCGTTGTAGAGTAATTTTTTATGCACAATGTTGGCTTCCCCTCTCCTAATTGGTTGCGTGTGGAACAGTGGGACCTGTGCATGCTGGCGTGCAAGGCGAGTCGCATAGCAGTGTGGCACAGGTGGTGATGTTTTGCCCTTGTTGTAGGCCCGGGCTGCATCAGTGCTGACAGCTCATTTCACTGCCAGGATATAAATAGAAATGTAATATATGTATCATCACTGTCATTTCAGAAGATATATAGTTTAGTTCTTTAGTGTATGGGATGTTTTTCAACTAAGTATTCTTCATTGAGAGTGAAATACACCCTATAAGAATAGCCCATGTCTAGAAATGTAGCATTCAGATCAGTTGGTCTGGTCTAGCGTGCGGCGGTACAGTGTGCACAAGAGATGCGAGTGGAGGGCAACCACAGCGTCTTGAGCGGCGAGGGCGGGAGGGCGAGCAGGCATGAGAGGGAGAGTGAGAGGGAGAGCAAGAGGGGGAGTGAGAGGGGGAGTGAGGGGGGAGAGGGGAATGAGAGGGAGATGAAGTGGGGAATTGGAAGAGGGAGTGAGAGGGGGAGTGGGCGGTGAAGTTGCCACCCTCAGGGAGTGGGTGCAGGTCTCTGGTGCTCTTTGAGCCTGGGCGGACCCCACTCTCCCACTGCTTCACTGCGCTCAGCCTCCCTGTCCGTTCTCCCTTTCAAATGCCCCCCCGTGGCCTTCCTCTCCCTGTCCCGCTCCCCCTGGCTCCACTCCTCCCCCCCCTGCTCCGCCCAGGCGGGGGCCACAGCGGAGGACCTTCATTTCTTCCAGCAGCTGGGAGAAGCGCTGCTGCGGGCGCAGACACGTTATTGCCTCGTTGAACCGCCTCTGCCTGCGTGGGGGGAAGAGAGGGGAAGAGGGGGGGGAAAGGGGGGGAGATGGGGGGAGAGGGGGAAGAGGGGGGGAGAGGGGAGGAGAGGGCGGGAGAGGGGGGGAGAGGGTGGGAGAGGCGGGAGAGAGGGCGGAACAAGGAGGAAATGAGAGGAGTTGAGGACTGCCGCTGCGGACGCAAACACATGATGGCCTCATTGAACCGGCGCTGGCTGCATGGGGGGAGGGGAGGGGGGGGGGGGGGGGGAGAGATGGGTGGGAGGGTGTTGTGGCGGGGGAAAAGGGTGGGTGGAGCGAGTAGGAGAGAAGAACCACTGCTGCGAGCGCGGACACGTTATGGCCTCGTTGAACCGGCGCTGGCTGCACGGGGAGGGAAGGGGGTGAGAGGGGGGGAGAGGAGAAGGGTGGGGGTGTGGGGAGGACAAGGAGGGTTCACGGACTGGATGCCAGAGTTGAAAGCAAGCAGCGTTGAAAGCAAGCAGCGTTGGAAGCAAGCAGCACAGCACCCTAGACTATACGACACGCTTTTGTTGATCATACCAGAATGATGCTCACTTGGGCAGGCAGGCTCACTGGATGTTTGGTGGGCCGTTGGCAGGGCAGCAGCGCAGCACTCACCGGATGACAGCGCTTACAGCGACTGACGGCACTCACCAGATGTCAGCGCTTACAGCGCTGACAGCACTCAAGTGCCAACTCTTGAGGCGCCTAAGAATCATTTAGAAGTCAAACACAACACAGCACTCACCGAATGACGGCGTTGACGGTGTCCCTCAGTTGCAGCCCGCCCCTCTGAATACCTGCACGGATGGGCGCACGGGGATGGGCGCACGGGGATGGGCGCACGGGGATGGGCGCACGGGGATGGGCGCACGGGGATGGGCGCACGGGGATGGGCGCATGGGGATGGGCGCACGGGGATGGGCGCACGGGGATGGGCGCACGGGGATGGGCGCACGGGGATGGGCGCACGGGGATGGGCGCATGGGGATGGGCGCACGGGGATGGGCGCACGGGGATGGGCGCATGGGGATGGGCGCATGGGGATGGGCGCAGAGGGATGGTGAAAATGCAGTCAGGCAGGGCACATGCACAAAGGCATGGGCATGCATGGGCATGGACATGGGCATGGGCATGGGCGTGGGCATGGACATGGGCATGGACATGGGCATAGACATGGGCATGGGCATGGGCATGCACACGCACGCGCACATGCACATGAACCCCCCTTCCTCTCCCAGACTTCCCCATCTCTCCCACCTGTTCGATCATGAGCGCGGAGTGCGGCCAGTGGAACCCAAAGTAAGACAGCATGCACGCGTCCAGCTCCGCGATCAGCTCCTCCCCCAGCTGCTCCCCCGCCCCCGCTCCCGCGAGCCCCCGCCTCCCCCCTGTCTGCGCGACGAGCGCGAGAAGGTTGGCGCGGCTCTTATCGAATGTGCTCTTATCCGATGTGCTCTTATCGCCCCTCACTTAGTCGTCCGCCACCTGCGCCCGTAGAGCCACGGCTGCCATGTGACTTTTGAGTCGCCTCAAAAGTCGCCTGCGCCAGTAGCGCCACCGCTGCCAGGTCCGTGGGCATGCCCCACTGGCGCACTGGCGGACGGGGAAAGCGGAGAGGAGGACGGGGGAGGGGGACGAGGAGTGTCCGAAGGGAAAGGCGCGGGTCGCACATGATGCCCGTGCGCTCACTACCACGTACCACCTTCTCGTCCTCTCTAACCTTCCCGTGGCTGTGCGTGGGACCGTGGAACATTTCCGGGAGCTGCGGCTTCCCAGGCGGGAGTGCGTGTTTTTCCGCACATGATACCAAGAGTTGGCTGATGCTTCATAAAGAAGGTGATTGTTCAAGGGCAGATCCTCGACATAAGTTTGAAAGCACATCAATTGCAGGTTGTACCAGCAAACAAATGAGGCCCCAGGCCCACACTCATGCGTCAGGCCATGGATCACAAGCTTTGTTTTAGTCAGATATTAATTGATCACAAAATAACACGCATTTTAGATACTTTATGTTGAAGATAAGGAGGTGAAGGGCATCTAAAGTGGAGTAGAAATGAACTTAAACACAAATCACACAGAAAGTTCATGTGCTTTCATTTAGTTCTCAGATTGAGGATGTCTTTGACGAGGAATGGCATCTTATCGAAGACAGAATATTCACTCTTGGTCTGACGTGTAAAGTTCACCCACTCCTGAAACCCCGTTTTGCCAGCGTAGAAAGTCCAACTGCAATCCTTGACACCCTCGAGTTTTGGGTTTGAGTTGGTGAGGGAATGGAGGCATGCTGGTTTCTTGACTAGGTCAATGGGTCAACGGCGTTGCAAGGTATGGAGCAGTGCGTGTGTGACAGAACAGAGAAGCAAGTTCGAGGTTGGCCGAGCATTTGGTGGTGTAATCCGAACACGTCAGAACAGTGTGCCACGTATGCGGATATCCACGAAGAATTCCCCGCAAACGCCGCAAGCCTTCGACAACCGTCGATCTCCTTCGCCGTAGCCACAAGAATTTCGTGGCAACCAATCATGAGCGGCAGAGGATAACCCCCTATGTTCCTGCATCCCGGGCATGTTTCAGCGGTTCGAAAGATTCTGTGGTGCTCCTCCCTTCCTTGGGTCACGGGCACCGTGCCTAGAACCTCGCATGAAGTGGGGGCTGGGACCCAGCGTGTCGCTCTGCCCGCTGACACGTTCGGAGCTCTGCAAACGAATCGCTGGCGGGCAAACGCAAAATATTTTCCTCAGAAACGGCCGAAGCTGCTTTACTATTGCCCCTTTCAAGCGTCATCGCTGTTCAGTTTCCCGTCAACACTACTGACCAAACTCAAACCCAGTCTGATGCTCAGTGTGGTGAACATCGACAGTAGTCCACGGAAAACCAGGAAACAAAGTCAGTTCGACGGACCGCATCTGAAAAATCTGCCGCCCTGCAGAACACACCCGCTGCGCACCCCTTGTAACAACCTCCCCGTGCCATCTTTCGGGAAAATTCCCGAGATGCCCGTAACGAATGTATGCGCGCCTGGTTCCTGCTGCACCTGCTGCGGACGAATGGCACGGTTGCGTGGGCAGACGCTGGCGGAGCAAAGCACGCTCACGCTGCACCCCCAGCCGAAGGCCATTTGCCATTCATCCCTGTCACATAATCTCCCGCACCACCCCCAGCACCAGTTCACACCAATCATTCCCCCCAGCCTGCCTGTCTGGTCCCACTTCCAGACCATTCCTCGATTCTGTTTCCCGCGTTTCTGACCCTCTGAAACCGTTTCTGCTCCTAGCCTGTTACTCCGACCTGAAATACAGGACCGCCATGGATGCTACTCACCCGTATGCGATGCTGCCTATAGAAGACCCGGTTCCCCATCATAATCGGGCAATTGTGGGTGTGAGCGTCGCAGTTGGAGCGGTCAGCATATCCAGTTCGACGCTCGAGGCGTCAACCATGGCTGCCGTTTGGACCCTTGAGTCTTCAACACTCAGCTAGCAGGACGTACATTTACTATTTTTTTTCAATCGCTGCTCCAAACTGGTGGACAAGGCCGGTACCTTGGCGAAATCATCGCGTCCGCACGAGTCTCTGACCGACCCGACTCTGACATCTGACAAGACTGAGCGTCAAACATCGACACTAACATTTTTTCATTAAGCCTTAATTTTTCCCCTGTTATTTTGTAAAGATCAAGACCAGCCATGACCAGCGCAGCCCCTTCAGCAATGGCTTCCCGCGTCGTGGGGTCTCCAAGCCCGCTTCTTGACCGTGCCGCCTCCAGCTCGTCATCGTTTCTCAGCGGACGGCCTCCTCTGTCTTCTTCCGGTACCAACTTCTTTCGCGGGACAACTTCCCGGGCGCGTGGCGGACTTTCCTCGAAAGATCGTGTTTCATCTTCTTCAACCATCAGTAAAAAAACCGGACCGCGAGTCAAGGCCAGACTCGCCCTTGCACCTGCTCTTAGAAGCGCGGATATATGGCCTCAGCACCCTTGCGGCTCGGTCTTGGTGATTAAGGCTCCACCAGCACTGCGGTCGATTAAGCGCTTAATCTCCGCCGTCTCTGCGCGCCCCGCGGCTTCCCGGACCAACTCTGCGGAGACTTCTGCGGGCGGAAGCGAGGATATTCCGGCGGAATCGAAGCTTCTCTCTCAGCAAGACGACGAAGCGCAATCGGCACCTGTCCCCGCGATCGTACTTCCGCAACTGCCGTCTCGGTTCGCTTTGCCTACTCCTCGTCTGAATCGTCGCGCTCTGCTTGGCATCGGCGCCGCCGCACTCGGCGCCGCAGCCGCCGCCGAGCTGGGGTTGGTCAACGCGGCGGCGGCGGAAGCGGGGAAAGAGAAGTCGCCGTTGTGGTTCCTCGGCAACGCTAACGGCGCCGGGGTGAGCGTGGATGGCGGCGCGAAGGCCGCGGCAGCGCCGAAGGGCCCCGAGTCGCGTGTGTACGACGCAACGGCGGTCGGAGAGCCGGCGCTGCTGGGGGATAAGGAGGGCGTGTGGCAGCGACTTTTGGCGGCTCGAGTGGTGTACCTAGGCGAAGCAGAGATGGTTCGCGACCCGACGGACAAGGTGAGGCTTGACGATGGAGGTATAGTCTTAATTCCGCCATTGTTTTTGTGTTTTGTCTACTTCCAACTAGTTTTCGGTATATCTTGACACATGCTGCCCCCATTTCTGCAACATACATATTAAGGCTTAATCGTTGAAGACCATGCTTCCCTCTAAGACGTTCTCTTTTCCTTTTTTCGCCTACCTCGCCTTTAATTATTCAGGTCGTGGCTCTGGAAATCGTAAGTCGGTTGAGAGACGAGTGCTTCAAGGCGGGGCGCCCCGTCACCCTCGCGCTCTCTGCGTTTCCGCGATCCACGCAGCCGCTTCTCGACAAATATCTCAACAAAAGGTGAGGCATCTTCTTGTACGCGCTGCACCGTTACTCGCTATTGCTATTTCGAGATGTTATTTATTTCCCTGTATCTCGTATTTCTGACCGCATCTTGTTTCTCTGCCAGGCTTTCTGAAGAGGACCTCCAGGTGGCAGTGAGCCATTGGTCCAAGGGTCGCTTCGAGGAGATGGTTCCGCTTTTGCAGTACTGCCGCGACTCGGGCGTCCGCCTCTTCGCGTGCGGCGTGCCTCCTAAGGTGAGCGGCGCGTCGTAGTCCTTACAAGAACCTCGGCACATCGTTAATTGTTTGGGCCTCACTCCCTCGCTCCCTCGCTCCCTCGCTCCCTTTTCTTCTTCACCTCGAAGACTTGACTTAACATTTTCTCGACCCCGCCCTCCGCTCCTTCTCCCCCGCGCGCCCCTTTCCGCGTCAGATTCTGCGCACGGTGCAGGCAGGCGGAGTGCAAGCCCTCGCGCCCATCGACCGCCAGCGCTACGCCCCTCCCCTCGGCGGCTTCCCCGCGCCTTCCCCCTCCGCATCAACCGACCAACCGCTTACCAGCTCCGCGGCGGCATCCGCGACGGCGGGGCTGTGGGGGCTGGAGCCAGCGGCGGTGGCGGCGGAGGTGTACTCGCGGGAAGCCGTTTCGCGAGCGTCGCTGCCTTTCGGCCCGGGGCCGTACTGGTTCGCGCAGGCGCGCGTGGTGGAGCAGCACGCCGTGGCGCGCAGCATCGATCAGGCCATGGCGGACGGCGGAATCGTCGGGCTGCTCGTCGTCCTCACGGGCGCGTCGCAAGTGCGCTACGGAGCGCAGGGGTCCGGAGTCCCTGCCCGGATCAACAACGGGCAACTGAAAATTTCTGCTGGGTCGCAACGAGTGGTCCTTCTCAACCCCGAGCGCCAGCGCAGCCGGGGAGACGGCGAACTGCCCGAAGCCGATTTTTTCTGGTACTCGGGCAGCCGCATGTGCACGCAAAACTGTTATGACAGGGCGGAAATCGCGCGCGTGATGGGCGCAGCGGGGAGAACCTTCGACAACCTACCGCAGGACCTACAAACGGGGATAGAACGCGGATTAATCTCTCCGGACACGCTCCAGTCGTTCTTCGAGTTAGAAAGCCACCCGCTAGTCGCGGAGGCGACGAAGCGCTTCCAGGGGCTGCGGGAGCGCGTGTACGCCGACCCGCGGTTCCTCCAACGGATAGTAACTGAGGAGGCGATCAGCGTCACGACGGCGCTGCTGGCGCAGTGGGAGAAGCGGCGCGATCGATTCTGGTCGGAGATCGAATACGTCGCGACGGACGTGCTGCGCGGCGTGATCGTGAATTTCTTCACCGTCTGGTTACCCGCTCCCACGCTCTCGTTCCCCGCCGCCTCTGCCGCCTCTTCAATCGCGGGCTCCGCAGCAGCAGGAGCGGCCGGCGCAGCGGGGGCGGTGCAAGGGCCGGTGCAGCAGCTGGTGTCAGGTGTGGGTGCGTGGGCTGCGACGCTGCCGAAGAACGCGTTTCAGAGGGCGACGCAGCCCGGGCAAGACTGGGGGCTGCAGCAGCGGCTCGCGTCCATCCTCTTTACAAGCGGGAAGCTGTTCACTGTAGGGTTCTCGGCGAGTGTTGGCACTGTAGCGCTGAATAATTTGTTTATGGAGGTGAAGAACCGCCTGGGAGAGTTGTCTGCTGCTGGCGGCGCTGCTTCTGCTGCCGCTGCCGCTGGTGCTGCTGCTAACGCGCCTGCTGCAACGAAACGGTCCCCTGTGCTGAAGACTGCTGCAGTGTATGGCGGGTTCCTTGCCACGTCAGCGAATCTCCGGTACCAGGTGATAGGCGGGGTAGTGGAGCACTGGATCGCGGATTACTACCTAGCAGCCAACCCCATGGCAGGAGCAGCGCTTTCCATGATTGCGCGTACTCTCAACTCCTACTGGGGAACCTCCCAGTGGGTTGATCTCGCCCGCTTCGCCGGCCTCCAAACCTCCACCGCCCAGTCCTCTGCTCCTGCTTTGCCAGCTGAATCAGCGGCAGAAGCGGCAGCGGCGGCGGCAGCAGCAGCAGCGGCAGAAGCGGCGGAAGCATCAGCAGCGGCGGCGGCGGCTTTGGAGCAGGCGTATTCGGCCTCCCCCTCGGGGTTTTCTGGGTTGACTCCGATCCCTGTGCTGGTTAATGATCCGCGCTATGCTGCTGCTAGTGCCGGCGTGCCTGCGTTTGAGGCCTGGCAGTATGCTGCTCCTGCTGCCGCTGCTGCAGAGGCAGCTGCTGACAGGGCAGTGGCAGCAGAAAGGGTGGCTGCAGCAGCAGCAGCAGTGGCGGCGGAAGCAGCAGAAGCAGAAGCAGAAGCAGCAGCAACAGAGAAAGCAGTGGCAGCAGAAGCTGCAGCTGCGGACTCAGAATCCCTAGCAACAGCGAACTCAGATGATCTCCTGTTGGGAATCCCGGCGCTCCCTGAGCAGATCTCCTCATTCTCAGTCTCTGAATCAGGTGAATCTCTGCCTCCTGCCGCTCAAGAGTCTACACCACCTACCACCAGGACCCTCCCTGGAACACCTAACGGATTGGAGGGAACGGATTCTGCAGCAGCTGTTACAGAGGCTCTTTTTGAACTGCTCCAAGAATCAGACGAATCAGAGGCTGCGGCCGTTGACCGCCTGATGACCACTGATCCCAATTCCCCGCTTCCTCTCGCGGCTATTGGGCTTGAAATCACGGAGTCTGAGAGGAGTGAGCGTGGTGGTGCTTGGGCGATATCGGATGAGGAAATTATCTTGGAAGCCGTAGAGCTGTCAGTCCCCTCCTCTCCCCCCATGGGGTCTGTGATCTCGCTCGAGCATGTGTCAAGGGTAGGGGATGTGGAGCTGCTTCCTTCTCTGGATTCCGCCATCCCTCTTGACTCTCTGTCTCCTCTTGATTCACATCCCTGCCTTGACTCCCTTCCTACTCTCGACTCGCTTCCTTCTCTTGATTCTCTTGCTTCTGGTGATTCTTTAGAAGTGCCTGCAGTGGTGCCTGCAGTGGTGCCTGCAGTGGTGCCTGGTGATGGCCCTGCTGTGACAGTGCTGGGTGAAGAATCACCCAATGCAGTGGCAGTGGCAGTGCCAGCAGCAACAGCAGCAGCACCACCAGCAGCAGGTTCAGGTTCAGGTTCAGGTGCAGGTTCAGGTTCGAGAGCTGACGAGCAGTTTTCTTCACCGCGGGATGCGGTGTGTGCGTGAAAATGCGGCGGGGGTGAGCAGGCTGAGAGATGATAACGGCACTCGGTGGAATCCATGGTAAACGAATGTCTCAGTCGCAGCAGAAGCAGCGGCTGGGATGGAGATGCGTTGGCTGACAGGCAGCAGCAGGACCTGATTGGAGCGATGGAAGAAAAAGGGTCAGTTGAAGCCTGAAGCAGCGGAACAGGAATTTGTGGAGGGGCAGAAGAACGCACAAGTCGTATTGCGGCGGCTGTGTTGGTGGTTTCAGCAGCAGAAGCTGCTGAGGGTGCAGTTGCATGGGCAATGCAGGCAAGAAAGGGAAGCATGAAGTTGAAGCAGTGCAGCAGGGCAGGTGGGACCCGCAGTGCAGTGCGCAATGGTCTACGGAGTCTATGGCTGTGTTAACAAGGGATGGAGGCCCAGGTGTGGAGACAGCTGGCCTTGGGATCTCAAAACCCCCAAGAATTCAAGCTAGAGGCGCAAATTTAGGAGGAAGGAGGGGAGGTGCTGGGGTGATGAGGGTTTCTGGGTGTTGTTGAGTTGCAGGTTTTGGTTGGGTTAGTTAGTATTCTGTATCTTTTCTAGGCTTGATTTCAAATTCCTTGTTGGTACGGTAGTTTCAGCAAAATCTGCAGATTGCTCAAGTAATTAGCAGCATCTGTACCGTACGAGCACAACCTGTAATTAATATTGCTGTCAGAACACGACTATGTACATTTCTGGTATTAACAGAACAGCAAATAATGTGGTTTGACAATGCTATCTGATGTGATACAATATTTTTTTATCACGACCATAAATTTGGGAGAATCAGAATATTGGGAATACAGCACATTTAATAGATTGAGAGCTGCATAGATTTGAAATATGTAGCCTACGAAACATGAAAATACAAATCGAAGCGCACCAGATTTCAGCCCACCGCATCGCAGCTCACCACGGGAATGATGAGGCAAGTCCATCACAATCACATCCCACTAAATTCCGAGGGGATGTAAATTTGAGGGGCTGCCTTGAGAACTCCAGCCGTGGGGAAGCTAGCAAACGGTCATCGTGCTTTTAGGTACCCGTACCTCATTGCAGCTAGGACAGACAAATAAAGTAAATGGATAACGAAAGAACCGTACCGTACATAACATTTAGGGGGAGATACTATACAAAACAACGAGCTAGATTACCAGCCCACCAAAACCCAGCCCACCAAATCGCAGCCCACCAAGGGAACGGAGGAGCATGTCAATCAAGATTACACCACCTACTAGAGTGCGAATTTAGTTGAGGGGCTCCATGGGGAAGTCCTCGACGGGGCTGAGCTGCTTGGCGCGGTGGTACTCGGTTTGCGCGCAGTCCACGGACAGCACGGAGCTCGACTCGTACAGCCGGGGAGTGCCGTCAAGGAACCCAGCGCCCTCCGCGCTGTCAGCCGACACCGGACGGTGCAGGTTCGCGATCAGGCGCTGGAAGTCGGCGGCGCGAGCCGCGTGGTCGGGGCGGTAGGTTTGACCGAGCACGCCGTGCACGTCGTCGGTGTGCTCCAACTCCACAATCCCCACGTTGATGTGCGCCTCGGCCTCGCTGGGCGTCTGCAGCTTGGGGTTGGCCACGCGCAGGCGCAGGTCGAGCGCCACGAGCCCGTCGATGGTGAGCGTGTAGTAGTCCACGTCATACGGGCCCTCCTTCTCCAGCGCCGCGAATCGCAGAGTCAGCCCGCCCTCGGTCGTCACCTCGTCGCCCACGTGCATCCTCGGGATCTCCTCGCCGTCGATCTCGATCGTCTTCATGAACCCATCACCACGCTCCTGCTGCTTGCCGGAGCGCGCCGCGAGCCGCACCTTGTGGTCGGCGCCGTTGGCGAACCACACGATGCCCAGCTCCTTAATCCACGTGTGCACGGCCTTGCCGTCCACAACGAGCGCCGCGTTCTCCGTGTCGTCCGAGTAGTACCCGCGCAGCAGCATGTTCACGTGCAGGTCCTTGTCCGTCAGCAGGAAGAACGCCTTGTCGGGGCGCCCGTTGAAGTCGAAGTGCGTGCCGTACGCGCCCACCAGATGCGGGTCGTTCACCACGTTTGCCGCGGGGTTGCACTCGCCGCCCGTGCGCACCTGCAGATGAACCGGCTTCGAGTCCGTCGCGTACTGCGCCGTCATGTCGCCGCACGAGTAGTCGATGTTGTCGTGCACCAGGTAGCACGCGCCCTCCGTCTTCTTGCCGTCGATCGTGATGTCGGGGATGTACTGCCAGTACGTGCAGCTGCTGTACCCCGCGCACGTGTTGCAGCACGTCTGCGGGGACGCCTTCTTCAGCGTCAGCGGGTTGCCCTTCACGTACACCTCCACGCCCAGCTTGTTCTTCAGCAGGTTCGACGTCTTCCACTTGGCGGCGATGCCGCCCTTGCTGCAGTTGGCCGGCGTGCACGCGCCCTCCCCGGGCTTGCCCAGGTCCTTGTGGCACTTCATTTTGTTCCATCCCGCAACCTTCACGTCCACCATCAGAATACTGTCCGTGCTCGGGCTCACGATCGTCGTTCCCTCGAACTTGTCAAGCCCGCCGGCGGCCGCCGCCTTCTCGATGCCAGGAGGGACCTCGGTTGCCACGCCATTCTCACCCTTGGCCTTGTCCAGGTTCACCGCCGGGTTGTTGGGTCCGGTCACCACGGTTTGACCTGCGGACGCCACCGCCAGCAGCACGGCGAACGTTGCGACGAAAAGTAGACGCGCCATGGGCTAAACCCTTCTGCTGAATCTGGTGATTAAGGATTCTACTATACTTAGTCAAATCGACAATACTGCGCAGGAGCGTATTTGGCTTCTATGCTGCCAGAGAAATGGAGAAGCCCCGCGCCTTGGGTCACCTCTGAAACTGATTAAAACTGTTATGTTATACTGCTAAATGATTTGGATCATGATGAGCCTCGGTGCTGTTTTATTTGCTACCACCCCATGCCCAGGCACGGCTGAAAGCGAGGGTTTGGTTTGAGGTTTGTTGCGAGCCGCGACAACATGTACAGACCGAATCGTGCTCAACCTGGTAAGGTTCAGGTCAGGAGAAAAGTAACTACAGTGTGTGTACTGTGTCTGCATTCAGTTCGACCTGCGACAGAGGCGTCCCTACCAGTCTGAAGCTAACCAGGTTTCTACTCAGGCAGCGTTTTCTACTTTTGCTGTTTTTCGGATCGCAGATTCAGGTGTTTGTGCCGCGGTCAATCTAACCTGCCCACACACACTTGGTGAGTTGTTTTGCTTCGCTTCCTTTCGCCTTCCTCACTCGCATCGCTTCCCCTCAAACCATCCTCAAATCATCCGCACCGTGCTCAACCCAATTGGGCCATTTTCTAGCTTATTGTGACAAGACTCTACAAGGAGTCTCCAATGCAGTCGTCATAGGTTGTCACAATCATTAAATTTAGAGACTTATTTCTAAATTATTCATGTCGCATAATTTGCCCGAATCCAGAGCAGATTTGTGTTTTCGATATAACCAGCATGGTTACCACCCAACACTTCCATCTCTCCAAGTCGACTCTCTCTCGCAACCCAGCGCTGCCTTTGGTGCCTAGGGACGCGTCACCTGAACGCCAATCCTGCGATTGATCCTGCGTAGGATCGTTTTTTTTCGTGGCTCCAAAAACGTCTAGATGTTTTGAATGCAATATGCGGGTTTTTAGTGCGGTCAAAGATCGGTTTTTGCACGATCGAGCCGGAGGGGACGCGTCCTAAGGGTTTCGAGGCTGGCAACCAGGGCCTATTTTATCAGGGTAAAATACCCTTTTTGCCCTGACGGTAGGCCAGTTTTTCCCAGTCACCTGTCAAATGTTGTAGCCTCTAGTGGGTCATGCTATATGGGGTACAAACAGTTAGGGTTAGGCATTTGTGTCAGAATGTAATTGTATACATCACTTTATAACTGCCTGTAATGTAGACTTAGTGTAGTTATCTTTCTTGTTAGGTGGTGCACCTTTCTTCTCTTCTTTCATATTTGTACCCTTGAGCCTATAGTGAAACCATCCTTTTCTCATTTTCAACTCACTCGATATTCCCCTTGAACCCTAAAACCTCAGCTACTAAGCTACCATAGCTATGGCTCCTAAGCCTACCTGTACTTAGTTTCTTCACATGCTATCAGAGCATTTATACTCCTGGCCTGTGGGCCCATGCTTCCGCTGCCTGTCATCCTGCCGCGCGCCTCGGGCGCGCGGCGTATTGCGCACGGCGGTTTTCTGCCCGCCGTGTGCTCGGGGAGCACGGCGGTTTTCTGCCCGCCGTGCGCCCCGGGCGCGCGGCGTCTTCCTGTCCGCGCGCGGGCCTGTTCTGCCCGCCCGTACCCTGCCCTTCGCGGCGCCCTGCAGAGGCGCCGCTCCTGCTCGTCGCGACGCCCCTGCGGGACCCGTGCGTCGCCGCTCCTGCTCGTCGGGACGCCCCTGCGGGACCCGCGGGGCGCTGTCCCTGCTCGTCGCGGCGCACCCCCCCCTGGCCGCCGCCTCTGCCTCCCCTGCGCCCGCGCCTGCTTTGCAGCAACGCGCGGGCCTGCCCTGCACCAGCGACGCCGCCCCTGGACACTGGAGCAGCCGCCACTGCAGGAGCCGCCCCTGGCCCCTGGAGCAGCCGCCCCTGGAGCAGCCGCCCCTGGAGCAGCCGCCCCTGCAGCAGCCGCCCCTGGCCCCTGGAGCAGCCGCCACTGCAGCAGCCGCCCCTGGCCCCTGGAGCAGCCGCACCAGCAGCCGCCCCTGGCCACTGGAGCAGCCGCCACTGCAGGAGCCGCCCCTGGCCCCTGGAGCAGCCGCCCCTGGACCAGCCGCCCCTGGAGCAGCCGCCCCTGCAGCAGCCGCCCCTGCAGCAGCCGCCCCTGGCCCCTGGAGCAGCCGCCCCTGCAGCAGCCGCCCCTGGCCCCTGGAGCAGCCGCCCCTGCAGCAGCCGCCCCTGGCCCCTGGAGCAGCCGCCCCTGCAGCAGCCGACCCTGCAGCTGCCCGCGACGCCGCTCCTGGACCCTGTGCAGCCGTGGGGGGAGGGTATGGGGGTGGCGGGTGTGGGGGTGATGCGTGTGGGTGCTACCCTTCCCCTCCTCCTCCTCCTACTTCGTCTCCCACTGCTGCAGCTGCCGCTGAAGGGGGTTGGATTTGTGGGAGCCGAGGGGGAGTGAAACTAGGGGTGCGGCAAGGGGTGCGGCAAGGGGTGTGAAAGGGGTGTGGGACAGGTAGGGGAGGTTGAGTGGAGGTGGCCGCCGTGAAGTCAACAGCTCCAGTCGCCCGTGAGACCGTTGCGCCAGTCGCCCGTGAGCCCGTCGCTCCAGTCGTCCGTGAGCCCGTTGCTCCAGTCGCCTGTGAGTCAGTTACTCCTGCCGCTCGTCTAGCCGCGGAGTCAGTTACTCCAGTTGCCCGTGTGCCAGTTGCTCCAGTTGCCAGTGTGCCAGTTGCTCCAGTTGCTCCAGTTGCGCCGTGTGCCAGCAGCTTCAGCTGCCGCCCACCACCTCCTCTCCTCTCATAGTCCCTCCTCCTCCTCACTTGCCCTCTCCGTCTGCTGCGCTCTGCTTGGTGTACCCCTTCCGGGGGTGTTTCTGCACATGGTTCTTCACTGCAGGCAGTTAGGGGGTGTGTCAGAATGTAATTGTATACATCACTTTATAACTGCCTGCAATGTAGACTTAGTGTAGTTATCTTTCTTGTTAGGTGGTACACCTTTCTTCTCTTCTTTCATATTTGTACCCTTGAGCCTATAGTGAAACCATCCTTTTCTCCTTTTCAACTCACTCGATATTCCCCTTGAACCCTAAAACCTCAGCTACTAAGCTACCATAGCTATGGCTCCTAAGCCTACCTGTACTTAGTTTCTTCACAATTTGTACCCCAACCCAATCAATCCAACTCATTCCGCTGTGTTTAGTTTCTGAGATGGTATCAGCAGTAGGTTCGCCGTTCCTACGCCTCACCTAGCCGTCGTCGTTCCTAGACTTAGGGTACATTCCTGTGTGGACATTTGTGTCTCAATCCTTTAGTGACGCGTAAAAAACAGCATAAAACGTAGTATGTCGCAAACGGAATCGCCTTTTAGCGACCATTACTGTATTTTTCATTGGTCAGCGTGAAACGCGCTGATGTCGCGAACGAGTTGCAAATTGACTCGTCACTGGTAAAAAGTCGCACGCGTTCGAAATGTCAATGCACCTGAACACCCCCAAACGCCAATTTCGCGCGGGAAACAAATCCCGCTCGTCTAAACCACACCCCAGCCATGCGTTTGAAGAAACGGGTGTACAGTCATTTCCGAAATCCAATCAAAAGCGCACAACTGTACATTTCGCCTGGTCGCCTAGTGTCGCGATACATTCACTTTTTGTGACGCGAGGTTGACAAAATGTTTCGACGCGACTCGGGAAAAGGGGGATTGAGACATTTGTGTCCACACAGGAATGTACCCTTAGGCCGCCTCCTTCCTCGACGTGTGCCCTAAAACGCCTTAGCCCGCGCCTCGCCAACGCGCCACGCCATCGTGCCACGCCAGCGCACCGCGCTGCCCACTAGCGCACCACGCCGCCCGCCCGTCGACCTGCAGCGCGGCCCGTCCGCTAGCGCACCGCGCCGCCCGCCCGTAGGCCCGCGCGTCGCGTCGCCCCGTAGGCCCGTGCGTCACGCCACCCGTAGGCCCGCCTGTTGACCCGCCGTGCCGCCCGTAGGCCCGCGCATCGCGCCGCCCGTAGGCCCCGCGCGTTGCGCCGCCCGTAGGCCCGCCCGTCGACCCGCCGTGCCGCCCGTAGGCCCGCGCGTCGCGCCGCTCGTAGGCCCGCCCGTCGACCCGCCGTGCCGCCCGTAGGCCCGCGCGCCGCGCCGCCCGTCTGACGACCCGCCGCGCCGCCTGCCCGTCGGACCTGCCGCGCCGCCCGCAGGCCAGCGCGCCGTGCCGCCCGCAGGCCAGCGCGCCGCGCCGCCCGCCAGCCAGCGCACTGTGCCGCCACGCCTGTCCACATGCTGCGCCACCTACCCGCCTGCATGCCTCCGCGCGTGCTCACACGTTAGTGACTGTCTCCCCCTCCCGCGGCTGGCAGCCACGATCTCTCAGTTTCGCCCCTATGGCGACCTCCCGAGTACTTCGTTTTGACCCTGAAGGGAGACCTAATTGATTTTAGTACGTGGCTTACGCAGGCGCAGCGCCACCTTAAGAGCCAGCGGCAGGATGGCGTGCACCTGTTCGCACACGCGTCCGGCGCTCAGACCGCCCCTTCGCAGCCTCAGCCACTGCCCACTACCCCACCGCCTACTTCTGAGCAGGAGGCCGACTACGAGCGCCAGCTCCTCGCTCGCGATGTATGGGAGTCTCGTGACGCCGCTGCCTGCCTCGCCCTGACCGACCTTCTCCCGCCGACAGAGGCAGTCCACTTCGCTGAGGTCGAGTCTGCTGCAGATCTGTATAAGGCTATTGTTACTCGCTACTCCACTCCCTCCTCTGCTTCGCTCAGCCGCCTCCTCGTACCCTTTATCTACCCTGACCTCGCCTCCTTTGAAACAGTCTCTGACCTCGCTACCCACCTGCGCTCCCTTGATGCTCGCTTTCGCGCCTGCTTGCACTGAGGACCAGCTTGCCCTTGCCCCACCCCCAATGTGGCTCACTATTTACTGGCTAGTCACTCGCCTCCCTCACCGCCTAGCCACAGCCCGCGACGCGCTTATTCTGAATCACCCCACTGAGCTTACCGTCGATCTTCTTGATACTGCTCTCTCGAAGATCGAGAT